TGTAGTGCAAGGGCCTGGTCTTATTGATTAAAAAGATTAAAAAGCTTGTCAAGCCATGCTATAAAATTAGGGACATTAGGTGTGTACCAGCCAAGATTAGAAGCCATCCACACTTGTTTTGCAAATTTGCAGCTTATGAAGAGATGGAAAACTGTCTCCTCCTTTTCTTGACAAAGTGTACACACAGTCTAGACCGGGAGTCTTTTTTTCTCCAGAGACTTGAGCACAGGCAAAATCTCATTAGCAGCCCTCCAAATTAGATTTCGGACAATAGGTAATGTATGATAAAATTTAGGATGAGGTATGGACAATTGGATTAAGCAATAAGACATTTGGACTGAACCATATTAAAAGATTGAATTTAATCGATTGGTTAGAGCGGCATTAGAGCCGCATGGTCCTTTTTTGCGAGAGTAATATTTGATAACAGATGACTAAATATGAAAAATTTTCTGTTATAAAGGACCAATAATTCCCTAGTCCTTCTTTTTTAAGTATTTTTTTCATAAATACGGAGTAGTTATTTTTTGACATTCTGTCATATTAGTGTTAATTTGATAGTTAAAGTGTAATTTGACATCAATCCTATCATTCCTATGTCCACTTCCGTATTCCGATGTTGGTTAGACGGACAACACAACAATAATGACTATGACTGTAGACTACGATTCCTGACGAAAGATCACATCTGTAAACTATAATTGTTTTAGAAAGTGACTGCGATTCACAAAAGATGTATCAATAGCGGCTTCTAGAATTGTGAATGATAAGAATGATATATGATCATTATGAAATTATTATTTTAACCCTCAAATTAACATTAATATTACAGTAGATAAAAAAGATTATTTATAAAAATTACCCATAAAAGGATCTTAAGACCAATATTTCATGATAAAAGACTAAATAAAAAAATCTTTTATTATAAAGGATTAATTATAAATTTTAAAGAAATTTAAACATCAATACATAAACCAAACCCGATGTAGACAGAGGGTAAAAATGGGGCCGAGTTTTGTTTCCCGCAAGAAGCAGTTGCTCGTAGTAGCTGAGTCGTACGGACTATTAAATTGACAAGCCTTTTTTATCCCGTTACAATTTTTTTTTCTCCTCTCGATACTTTTTATTGTATTTATTTATGCGATTTCATTAAGTTTTTGATAAAATAAAATATTCTAGTTTTGTAGAACTTTTGACGTAATTTTTTAACATGTAATTTTTATTTCATATCAAAATACCGATTTATAAATAAAAAATAATTTTAAAAAATGAGATACTTCGTTTCGTAAACTCCAATTTGTAATCAAATTTGGGGAAATTGTTTTTTCCAACAACAATTCCCCACTTTCATCTTCACCAGTCTCAAACATGACAGTGATGACACACCTAATCTTTTCCTATACAGTTTACATTTCAGTAACTCCTTAATTGCCTGCCAGCTAACCCAACAAAAAACACTTCTCTCTCTTTCTAAGCCCACTTTCTTGAACTCCTCAAATGTTTCCTTAAAGTTCTGGAAAGTCACAAGTGATAGGTTTTTAGGGTTCTTGAATCTGGAGTCTTTTTCACACACCCAAGATTCAGATAAACAAGCCAGTCAAATCAAATCTTCCCAGTTAGTTAGTTATGTTCATTGTACCCCCAGGGCCAAAATTTCAAAGAAGGGTCATAAATGCACTTAATTTCAGTCTTTTTCACCTGTATAAGCATATGGTAATTTCATGAGTGGTTGAAAAAGGTTCCTGTTTGGTCAAGGTCTTGATCTTCTTGTTCATTGATTTATTAATTAAAGATTTGAGCTTTATTTGCTTCAAGAGATCAAAGGGTTTCAAGATTTGGTCCTGAAAAATGTAATGCTGGGGTGGCTTTGCTGGGAACATGAAAAGAATAGGTATATGGGTTTATTGCCTTGTCCTTTTCTGCTGCTTTTGCTTGTATGAGTTTGATTTTGTGTTTACAATCACTGAAAAAGAGATCTTGCTTCAGTTCAAAGGGAACATTTCGAGTGACCCGTTTCGTAGTTTGAGTTCTTGGGATCCCAGAAAACCCCCTTGCCGAGATTATTTCGGCGTGTTCTGTAATTCTGATGGAAATGTGGTAAAAATTCTGCTGTATAATGCCGGCCTTGTGGGAGTGCTGTCGCCTGCTTTGTCTGGGTTGAAATCCTTGGGCAGTCTGATGTTGTTTGGGAATGAATTTACAGGCAATGTCCCGAATGATTATGTTAAGATTGAATCTTTACGTAAGATCAATCTGAGCTCCAATGCATTATCTGGGTCCATCCCAGAATTTCTCGGAGATCTACCGAATTTAAGGTTTCTTGATCTGTCAAGAAATGACCTCTCCGGGGAGATTCCATCTGCACTGTTCAAGAGTTGTGAAAAAGCACTGTTCGTTTCACTTTCGCGCAACCGTCTTTCTGGTTCAATCCCCACATCAATTGGGAACTGCCAGAGTTTAGAAGGATTGGATTTATCTTTTAATCGGATCATTGGCAGTTTGCCCCCACAAATTTGCACCATTCCTGGAATGTCATACTTGTCTCTGCGAAGCAATGCACTCAGTGGAAATGTTCAAGAGCAGATCTCAACCTGTCAAAGATTAGAGCTTTTGGATCTGGGCACCAACGAATTTACCGGCATTGCCCCTTTTGAGGTCTTTTCCTTCCCAAACCTTGCATATTTCAACATTTCAAGTAACCTGTTTCAGGGAGGGGTCCGAAATCTTGGAGCTTGTAGTCAGAGACTACAAGTGCTGGACATTTCAAGAAACAGTTTTTCTGGTGAAATCCCACGAAGCATTGCGAAATGCAGTTCGCTGAAGTATTTGGACTTGGGGCATAACTGTCTTAATGGAACTATACCACTTGAGATTGCAGATCTCGAGAACCTCGTGCTCATTCGTTTGGAAAACAATTCCATTTCTGGGACAATCCCTCCCCGGTTAGGGCACATAGAGTGGCTTGAAGTTCTTGATTTCAGTAATCTCATCCTCGGCGGTGAAATCCCTGACCAGATAAGCAACTTGAGGTTTCTTCTTGAGATGTGAGTCCAAAATGTCCATCATTTTTGCTGTTTATATGCCCTTAGAGAGTCCTACACCAGAACTTTGAAGTACTCAAACCATTTTTTGTGTGTTCTGTAGGGATATCTCGCGAAACCAGATACGAGGCGAGATCCCACAGAAGCTTTACAACATGCCAAACCTCAAGATTCTTGACATCCACCACAACCAGATTGGTGGGGGAATTCCCACAACAATAGGGAATCTGTCCAACTTGCACTGGTTGGATTTCTCAGAGAACCGGTTAACCGGTTCGATCCCAACCAGTCTGGGGAGCTTAACAAACCTGACTCATTTCAATCTCTCATCCAATCTTCTCTCCGGAGAGATCCCTTCCAACGAGACTATCGGGAAATTCGGGTCCTCCACCTTCGCAAACAACCCCAGCCTCTGCGGGTTCCCGCTAGGTTCCTGCCATAAACGCGGGAAAAAGCCTCGGCTGAGCGCGTCCGCCATTGTTGCGATCATCGCAGCTTCTGTAATCATCACCGGCGTCGTAATCGTCACCGTCATCAACGTTAAGGCTGCCAGAAGGAGCAGAAGAGTGGAGGAGACGATCATTTCGGAGAGCACTTTACTCGCCTCGTCGGATTCAAATGCCCTAATCGGAAAGCTCGTTCTTTACAGCAAAAGCCTGCCCTCCAAGTACGAGGATTGGGAGGCCGGCACGAGAGCTTTGCTCGACAAGGATTGCCTGATCGGCGGCGGATCAATCGGGACGGTTTATAAAGCCACATTCGAATCCGGGGTTTCAATCTCTGTCAAAAAGCTGGAGACTTTGGGGAGGATCCGAAACCAGGATGAATTTGAACAAGAAATGGGACGGTTAGGGAGCCTTGATGAACACCCCAACATTGTTCCCATTCAAGGCTACTATTGGTCTTCAAGCCTACAATTGATTCTCTCTGAGTTTGTCCAAAACGGGAGTCTTGCCGAGAATCCCGGTTTGGATTGGCCGAGAAGGTTCGGGATTGCGTTGGGGACCGCGAAAGCATTGTCCTTCCTTCACCACGACTGCGACCCACCGGTCCTTCATCTCAATGTGAAGCCGAGCAATGTGTTGCTCGGCGAGAGCTACGAGCCCAAAGTGTCCGATTATGGTTTGGGGAAGATACTCCCGTTTCTGGACAACTCTGGGCTCACCAAATCCCACAATGCGGTCGGGTACGTTGCGCCCGAGTTGGCCCAGACTATGCGGGTGAGTGAAAAGTGTGACGTGTATAGCTACGGTGTCATTTTGTTGGGGTTGGTCACGGGGAGGGGCCCCGTGGAGAGTTCGCCGCCGGAAAATGAGGTGGTGGTTTTGTGCTCGCATGTCAGGGGGTTGATGGAGAGGGGCGCGGGTTCGGAGTGTTTGGATAGACGGTTGCGCCGTGGTGGTGGGTTTGCGGATGAGAATGAGATGGTTCAAGTGATGAAGTTGGGCTTGATTTGCACTTGCGAAACGCCTTCTCAAAGGCCGAGCATGGCCGAGGTCGTTCAAGTTCTGGAATCCATCAGAAACGATTCTGTATAATGATGGAGGAAAAAACGAAAACAACAAACCCAGTAGAATCCCACGAGAAACGAAGGAAAATACCCCAAGAATTTTTGTTTTCATTTTGGGATTTGTTCAAAATAAGGCTCCTCCCTAAAACCTTGTAACTAGCTGATCTCACTTTAATAAGGGAGTTGGGAAAATCCTTTTTTTTGCATATAGACAATTCCTTTATTAGCATCAAGTTTTATACCCCTCCGTCCCAATTTATGGTGTCTGTTTCACTTTACGATGTTTGATAGAAATTATTTTCAAATCATTTTATATGACAACTGGTATAGAATTAAAAAATAAAAACTACATATAAAAATACTATACCAAAAGATTTGGAACAATCTTTTGATATAAAATCTCTCTCTCTCTCTCTACGCTTTTTACAACTTTTTTTAAATTAATAAACTAAAATTTGGAACAATTATTTTCCAAGATGAAAAAAGGGAACAAAAGGCACCAAGCAGCTCCATTGTAAGAAGATTGAAACTTCAATTATAATCACAATCCAAGAAATTTAAAAGTACTCTCTTCCACATCACAAGGACCTCGAAATAATAAACATAACTCGGTTAAATACGAAGTACTTTCTCTACATTATACTCCGTATTACTCCAAGATAAACGCCAATGAATGAATCACACATAAATCAGCCAATCATTTATGTTTTGGTTGTTTTAATGTAAGATAACATAAATGAAATGGGATCATATACAATCCAGGGCAGATTGATTTTGGCATGCAGGAGCCATATATAGCACCTCAAGATAAAATGACAAGTCCAAGGTACCCTGCCCCACAAAGAAATGCAAATGATATCATCCCCCTGCAAGAAGAAAATTCATAAAATTTATGTGGAGAAAAGAGGAAAATACCCGACTAAGACTAAAACACGGTTCATATACCAAGATATGACCTTCACTGTTTTCGTACTAAAATAGGACTTACAATGCCAAAATATAATGTGCCAAAAAACATTGTGAAAGAGAACCACACAATGCCAAACTGCGGACGTTTCACAATGACAATATTCCTATTCAGGGGTTAAAACATATGAGACCTTACTTTGGTATAAATTTCCTTTTTTCTTAAATCTTACCTCTACCGTCCCAAAAAAAGACTCCCAGTTTGACTTAGTAAAAAGTTTTAGGAAAGTGAAAATGTGTGGATGAAAGTGATGCAGATGAGAGAAAGATTGTAAGCCACTCAAACTTTTCTATAAAAGGAAAAATGAGGCTTTTTTTGGGACGTTCTAAAAGAGAAATATGGACTCCCTTTTTTTTTTAGGGGGGGGGGGACGGAGGGAGTATTTAGGTAGATTTCTTTAGAAAAATGCAAGCTAGAAGCATTTTAGGGTTCATCTGCAGCAACAAGTTAACGACAAGCAAACCTTATTCCCAAATCATTGGAATCGGCAACATGAATGATGGCCTTCAGAAAAAACGAAAATAAAAGGAAAAAAATTGACTTCCATATTAAGTGCAAGTACAAACCAGATAACACCCCAAGCAACACCATTACAAGGGCATGGACAAAGTTCAGCGAACTTCTCAGCATCACTTGTATTAACCCTTCGCGATATCAAGTCGTCGTATATGTCTGCAACACAACATTTCAGTTTATTTAAAATTAGCCTTCTGTTTAGCTGAAACTTGTACTGCTAGATAAGGGATAAAGTTGTACCATATACAGAAAACAAGCTGTTCATAACACCTGCAATCCCCAAATTTCCACATCAGCAGCAAAACAATTGAAACAACAGAAAAAGTGTAGGCACAGTGCCCCTAGTACTGAAGTAGGTCCTGCGGGAAGGAAGGGTGTGGAGTGAAGAAATCCATACCAATGAAAAGTATTACATAGCGAAGAATCCGCACTCCAGTCATTCTTTGAAGAGCCCATATCACAGCAATGAAAATAATGAATCCTGCAAAATTTCAACAGCCAGACGAAAAAGTTGCAGTACAATGGAAAGCACATATATGTCGACATTGGAACTCGTCAAGTTCCTGAATGTGCTTACCAATGCAAAGTCCTCGAAGCGTCCACTGTTTTAGAAAAGAAATGAGCTACTCAAAACACAGAAAGCATAGAATAACAACTATTTACTCTCAGAAAATAATTTTTTTTTAGAGAGAATAGCATGCATTCAATATTAGAATCACACACAAACTAATTCATGTTTTAGCTTCTTACATTTTTAGCAAAGAAGAGCGCCACTATCAGAGCTATAATAAGACAACCAGAAGCAATTTGTGCAGTCAATAGATGTGTGGATGCAAGTATGAGAGCCATTCCCCAAAATGATGAACCAAGATCTGTTGTGAAGGAACATAAGAACACAAGTTTGAGATCAAAACCATTAAAAGCCACAACTATAGTAAATAAGAAAATAGTAAGCCATGTACATTTTTGTTGCTTTACAAAATCAATTAGGGACACATTCTGTAACCCCAATGGGAAAGTAATTACATCCAGCAGGCAAAATCAACCAATAAACACCGCCACGTGTTGTTGTCACACCCCCCTCATTTGCATGTACCTGCATGCCCAGCACCTGCATTCAATAAAAAATGGTTTTAAAAAATGAGCCAAATAACAGTCATTGTCTATCAACATACACTGATTGTAAAGAAGCATATTTATAAAACTCTATCCAAAACAGACCTCATTGCAAGTAGATCTTGCATATACAGTGCCCCACAACGTTTTTGTTTCAAGAGAACAAAAGGTGGGTTTACTGGAGGCCTTCAGTCACAGCGCACATACATATTCGGTGTCAATGCCAGACTTTTCTTTACATGTAAACAACTTAACTCACTAAACTTCCCTTGCTTCTTAGTTTCAAAAAGTACGCAATGCTTAACCTACTAACCGAAAGTGTTGCATATGTTCTGCCAATGTATTGTTCTAAATCTAATTATCCTTGAAATACACAGGCACAAATTGAAGCATATTTGGCCCAAATACAGTATTCTTTAGTGCCTCAAAGATAAATGCAGCGTTGTTTCAAAATGGCCACGATGCCTGGGACCATGTGCCCTTGATTGAACTGGGTTTGTGCTTTTACCATGTGCAGTTGATGCTAACCTGCCCCATAAAGTTCATACAGCATCTCGCCAATCACGACAATAGGAAACTTATCCTAGATAGCTTGGAGCTGAGTTCTCCGTAGTGGACGCAAAAAAGCCAGGTACCATATGATTTGCACACGAGACCAACTGACAAACAATGCAATCCAATAATCAAAAGGAACGACGGCTCGCCATGGCGGCATGGTACAACCGACCGCCATGACATACTGATTCCGCGGGAGGATTAATACAGTTTTTTTGGGACGGAGGAAGTACACCATATTATTCGCTGGTCTGCTTTGAGCGCATAAGCCTGAAGTGAAGAAAAGAAAAGCATACAAAAGTACAAAACAAAGTCTTGACTTTGTATGACTATGTCTCCTCGTTTACCTCTGGTCTTCCTTGTATAAAGACACCAAAATGTAGCATGCTATTTACGAAAAGCTACCCATATGGCTGGCGATTTACACTGGACGTGCACATGAAGAAAAAGGGGGCTGAAATGATGTGCTCTAATAACTAGACTTGGGGATTTACTCATTTCTTGCATGAGTATGTATGCAAACAAATTTTCCCTCATTTCATGTTAATTAGCCTAGATATACGGTCCTCCTCATATTGAAAAATATAGAACAAAATATATGAATTGAGTTATTTACTCTTTTAGTAAATCTAAAATAGTGTGATGTTATTTTATCCATATTATTAATTTCTATATCTCCGGAGTGGTTTTCTTAAGTGTGTGTGTGTCAGCTTCTCGATATCTGATTATTTGTGGTTTTTAATTATACCATAGAGTTAACAGTAAGTGAGATTTGAGTGTGTAATACTAGTATCTCATATTCGAGCTTAGATTGTCCCTTATCAAGAAAAGTTCTTGACAATGTCTTCTCCCCTGAGTAAATTCCTAAGCAATCCTTGTCACCCCTACTAGGGGTGATCAAATCTGTCAAATTGGAATATCAGTTAACTGAAAATTCGGTTTGCCAAAAAATGTGATCCAAAACCAAACCGGACAAACCAGTTAACATTTTTTTCAAGATGGTTATCTGGTTTTTATTTAACTTCCATTTTACCGGTGATCAAGCACACATTTTAAGTATTTTTATACTAATTTATGCATGAATTTATGTTGTTTACCTTTTCGGTTCAATTCACACTTCGGATAAGTTTTGCTCAACCCTAAGGCCTCTACCCTTATATATAACATCATATGATATTGATGTAAAATCTAAAGAACATAAGTTTTTAGCAGTATGCTTCGCGATCCATAATAGTAGTTTCATCCCCTAAGACACAGATACAACAATAACAGCAACCCAATTGATTCCCCTAAAAGACACAGAAATGAACAAATTTACCAAATTCAATCACATGCAGACATATGGTATTCATCTTGTAACAGGATAATTAAAAGTTCCCATTAAAAGTGTTAGGTGGGAGTTAGCAACTGGTTTGATGTTCCAAATATAAAATTTATCATTACATGGAAAATCAAACTTTAGACTTGAATAGGGATAAGGATCAAGTTATTTACCTCACCACATGTGAATTTACAAGCAATTGCATGGCTTGCCTCATGCAGAAATACAGTGATGAGCTTGAAAGGTGTTAGAAGGAAAGTTCTACACAACTGTTTCAATTTTTTTTAAAAAAAAAACTGCATTAAAATGAATGATTCCGATCCTGAAGAAACATTCAATCAAAGAAATGTAGCATCAACTCTGTGCTTGAAAATTTAAAATGTAATTTTATCATGTCTAGAACTAATTTCAGACGTAATGAATGTGGCCTAAAATACTGACTTAACATGTGTTTATGTTTGATTTACCCTGAGACAGTGCTTGATTACAATCATATGACCAGTTAAACGACTTCCACTGGTACTCAAACTCGTGATCCAACCTTTAAGATCACATGAGTTTTATCAACCTTGTGAGCCAGTAAAAGTGGCCTAAAATGAAAAACATCGAATTTTCTTTCATCAAATTTCTTCTCGATTTTTCCCTCTTATTGGTAACCTGCAATTTATCATGTGATGTTCCTATTCTGAAAACTGAAGGGCAAAGTTCAAAGTCTTGTTACAATTATTTAGTGAACACTTTCATAATTCAGGAAGGGGGAATAAAAGCAAAACAAGTTAAACAACAAATCGATAGAGTGTAGGGTGGCATATGAACAAGATGCATATAAGCTTCCATTAGGTAGGGAGAAGAGACGTACAACGCGGATGACAACGGAGTAAACGCCGATGGTGATAAGGAACGACTTCTGGTCGTGATTACAGCAGTTCTTCAGCTCCCAATTCGGATCGACCATCGTTTTGGTTAAACCCAGTGCCGGCGAGACAGACTTTCCGGCCGGCGGGGCGATCAATTTCAAGTTTCGAACTTTCCAGACGAAGGGGATGAGGATTCCGACTGGTACATCGCAACCCAATGCTGCGGTTAAAAAGTGGTGCCTTTCGTATTTTGATGCGACCTTATTTGGCCGGGTTAGACTTTAGATGATGATTTAGCTAGCTCATATTGTTGACTGTGATATGGTGATTCGTTCGTAAAATTGACGGTCACGATCTATCAATACCCCCAAGTAAATCACCCCGGCCTGACCTAGATATCCCCACCCCTTCAATTGCACCAAACAATATAATTTTGACTTTAGAGCCAAATTTTGACTCCAAAGTCAAAATTAACTTATGGGGTGCGATTGAAGAAGGTGGGGGTGTGTCTGGGTTGGGACGGGGTGGAGGGTTTACTAGGGGGTAAGGTAGTTAGGAATCGTCAGTTTTACGAACAGGACACCAAAGCGTCCTCGGGTCATCCCCTGACATGAGGTTCTAATATTCAGGGAAACCCACCCTTAGAAAAAATAAAATACGGTCGAATAACAAATTTTCTACTTATTATTATGATTTTTTGATAACTTATACAGTATTTGTTTATATATTTTCATTAATCAATATAAACTATTCTTGTGGCATCTTATTTTATAGAATTTTTAATGTTATTTTAAACAATATAATTTGTATTTTTTAAGGTAATTTTGAAAAAATGCGTGATTTTTTACATTGTTCTAAATAAGAAATGTGTTGTTGAGCGAATAGAGTAGTTGTTTGAGATAGAGTATCTACCCTTATATATTAAGGGGCTAGAGAGTTACCGTCAAGTTTTTTGGCCTATTTTTGGTCTTCCTTCTGTGTATTTACTGTGGTAAATGCGGTAGCAATGATAGGAAAATGTGAAGAAAGAAAATGAAGAGATAAATATTGTTGTTTGCATGAAGGAAAGATAAAGAGAAAACAAATATAAAAGAGTGAAAAAAACAATAAAAATAAAAATATGGTAGTTGATTGGCTGTTGCACTTTCTTTCAATGAGAGGAGAGAAAAATGTCTTCAATTTTCTCTCTGCTTTTCCACGCATCCAGCCTCAAACCACGATTAAATTACGAGTTAAAAATAAGTGAAATTCTATTTATTTTATTGGCATATTTACATTATTCATTTGATAAAATATTATAATTATATCACTTCTAATTTTATAAATCTCTTAATGTAGTTTTTTTTAAATGTAATTTTTATATTTTAGCTTTACATCATTTTTTATATAAAATTACTTGAATATAACTTCAGTTAAACATTGTAACACGTAACAGGAAGACAATTTTTAGACACGGAGGGAATATAAATTTTTTATGGGATAAAACTGTTCGAATGCATGAGTTCAACCCTTTCTGTGTTGTTTAGTGTTGACTCACAGGTTTTGATAATTGACAAACACAATTTATTCAAGTCAACATTAAAGTGCTACAACGACAAATACGAAGACTTGAAGTGTCATTCCTTGAAGTATTCAAGAAGGTGCACAGGATTTTGTTAAAGTCCGAGACGCGTCCGGAGCGCCTAACGGAGGACTCGGAGGAGTAGAAGTTTTCCGAAGACTTTTTATTTATTTGAGTCTTAGGAATTATTGTAAGGATGACAAAAATATCTTCTCTCCAAAATTATTTTTATGAGAGTCAAGATAAAAATTATATTTATTTTTGGAGTCAGTTGAAAAATCTTTTTAACTGTTCAAAATAGTTTTATTGAGTCAGTTACAAAAAGTGTGTCAAACATTTATCAAATATTTATTTTGATATTATAAAATATTTTTGGTAAGCAAAAATATTTTATTCAAATATTTTTCGTGTACATCATTGGACTCACTTTTACTCCCTTATTCAAATTCATTGAATAAGAGAGGAGGAGCGCTCCCTGATTCTTCTTGTCTCAAACAACGAGTTTGAGCCAATTCGCTCTCAATCGCAACTGGCCTTGGGCCTTTTGTGTTTGCGCATTATTTCCTTATTAATCGATTAATCTTCCAAAATTAATCGATTAACTGCTTATCGTTGGATTACCCTGGGCTGGAACATTAATCGATTTTTGCTCCTCTGTTAATCGATTAAGACTGGCAGAGCTGACTAATCGATTTTTGATCTTCCTTTAGTCGATTATCCTTTTCCTCACAGACTCCATGAATCGATTTTTGAAGATGCTTTAATTGATTTTTTATGATGCATTAATCGATTATGGTGATGCATTAATCGATTAATGCGCTGCATCTTTTCTTGCATAGCTTCTTTTCCTGGACCAACGGATATATTCCTTCAACCCCTTTATAAACCTCACTCCTTGGTCTTTTTTAAAATGAACAAGCACTCCTAAAATCCCTCAATCTTGAGGTTATAATCCTCCATTCATTTCTTCCTCAAATTGATATATTTTGAGAGAAAATTAAGTGTTTTCAAGAAAGTGTTTTTGTCATCCATAGAGCTTTAATCATTTCTCGTTTCTACTCTTTTGAGAGCTATTGTTGAGAGGTTGAAGAAGATTTTTCTTCTCGTTGTTCAAGACTTATATGACTTAAGTCTTGGTTGTGAAGTCTTGTAGAGGGCATATCTACGAGCGGTTGTGTCGAGGCTTGTGGGATTCAAGTTCTCGAGTTGTAAACGGTTTGTTAAGCACCCGTAAGCTTAACGGAAATAGTGGTAGCTTCGAGAGAGTCTCTCGGAGAACTGGACTAGCCACGAGGTGGTGAACCAGTATACATCGGTGTGTTCTTTGCCTTCTCTCTTTTATTTCCGCTGCACTTACGATTATATTATTAATCCTGCGAAAATCGGTAATCATTCTCAACAACTCTATTCACCCTCCCCTATAGAGTTGCACGCCTTGTCTAACAAAAACATAGAAATAGAGATGGCAACGGGCCTCATTTGAATATATGAGTTTGATTTTCGTGGGTCAGTTTCGAATATTTATTTTTTTCAATTTGGATAAAGTTTAAGATTCGATCGGGTCTATTACGGTCAAATTTGGGTTTGAATATTAATAAAAATTTTCATGAAAAATTTAAATACATTAAAATTTTTGTACCGTCCTGCATTTTGTCCCAATTTTTAAAAACTCAGAACAGTTTGTGCCACAAGCTTATCTCTCTTTGTCTCTTAATATTTGGAACATGTTCACGTTGTCTTACTTTGTCATTATTTGAAATTAGATATAAAAATACAAAATACATAAGGGGAGGCAATCCACTTTGACTTACAAAGTAATGAAAAAAATGATATACCCGGAGTATTTATTTAGAAAGTTTTAAAAAAGTATAAAGAATAAAGAAATATAAAAAAAATGTTACAACATACGTCAAAAGTAAATACTATAAACTCCATAAAGCTATTAGCCACAAATTAGGGCAACTCGGATTAGAACGGTGTGAAGTTTAATGTGTTCGAGTCCTAGTTTATTCTTTTTAGAATATTTGGATCTAGATATTTTTTTAATCTATTTTGGAAAATTAAAAATATCAATGTTTTTTTGTGTTATATCATTATATCAATAAATAAGTAAATAAATAAATACACATATATACGTGACAACGAGATGGAAAGAGAAAACATTTATGTGTCGTGATCTTGTCTCATTTTTAGAGGCAAATTATATTATACATTTGGTTGTACCGAATTTTGGGTACAACCAAGAAATTATTTATGATATGGATTTTATTTTACATGAGAATGAATACTAAGTAATTTGAGAATGAGTATTGTTTTGTTTCAGAATGAACACCATATTATTTATAAACGAATATTATAATTATATTGAACCAATGTGTGAAAATAAGTACTGTATTATATTAGAATGAGTATTACGCCAATTATATTTGTACGAGAATGAGTACTACCCCGGATATACCTATCTCTAGGTACATCCGGTTGTACCATATACCTTCTCATTTTTAGAGGATTCGAAATGATTCGAGAAATTTTTTTATCATTCCTAACAAAACAAAATATTATAGAGACGTGACCAGAATATTTCGAATCCGGACAATCGTTTCCAATTCTTGAAATACCCCGCACAAAATAGGGCCTAATAGCTCTGGTGCCCCCTGTGGTTTGGAAAATTGGCAGCAATACCCCCTTTATTTTCAAAACTTATTTCTAAAGTCCTTGTGGTTTCAAAACGTTGCACCCACACCACCTCTGATCATTTTCCGGCCATTTTTCGGCGAAGAGGGGGCATTGGCGCATAATTTCTAAACCATATGGGGGCACTCGTGCTCATTTTTTATTTTTCGTTTATTATTTGTGTTTTTCTTTCTTTTTCCTTTTCATATATTTTTTTTAAATTTCTTTTCAATTTTTTATAATGTTTTAAATTTTTTTAAAATTCTTTGTGTTTGAACTAATAAAAAAATTAGCATACATTACATCTATCTCAAATTAAACATTTTCACCTTTTCTTACATAGAATAATTTTTTGGAAAGTTCAATAAGAGAACCCAAAATAAAAATATGGAAAAACAAAATGAAAAAATTACAATACGAAAAAAAGTGTCTTCTGCAAAAAACCAATTTTGGAACACGCCTAAAAATATCCTTAAAATTGAGATGTCGAAAAAGGATAATCATTTTTATTTTTGTATTATTTTGTTTCTTATTTTATTCATCATTTTTAGAAGTTCTAAAAAAATTACCTTTTTTCGGAAAAAAAATTGTTAATTTGAGACGTGCCGATGCATTATATGTTAATTTTTTTAAACAAAAATAACTTTAAATTTTAAGAACATTATAAAATTAATTGTAAAATAACCTTTATTAATAAATGAAACAAATAAAGGAAAGAAATGGGGAAAAAAGAGAGAAATAAAAATTCAGCATTGGTACCCCTCGTGGTTTAGAAAATATGCACGAATGCCCCCTTTCTTCGCCGGAAAAATGACCGGAAAATGATCAGAGGGGGCACGGATGCAACATTTTAAAAGCACAAGAACTTTTGAAATAAGTTTTGAAAACAGGGGGTATTGCTGCCTATTTTGCAAATCATAAGGAGTACTCATGGTCACAAAATAGAGTAGATATTACTCCGCATTCAAGTCAACACAGGCCATGCGCCGGTCAACCATTCCCTGTCCTGTACCGTACGTCCGTACGTCCCGGAGGCGCATCCAATCGATTCCGCGCCCTAGGGTTCGTAATCTCCGCGCCCAATATGCTACAACAATATTACAAACAATAATCATCACTGCATTATCGTCCCTGCCGGCGGAATTCACGAGATGGATAAGAAGCAATCTCAACCAGTTTTCCTCGAAGAATGGCTTCTAAGCACCATTTCCGCCGGCGGCGGCAGCGGCAAAGGCGTGAGCCCAACTCAGCCGTCTTCTCCGACATCAGCCCAAGACATAATGCAAGCTTGGGCGGATTTGCGGGGCTCAGTTCATCAACAGTCATTCAATTCCGGTAATCTCCAATCTCTACGCAGCCTTGTAGCATCTCGAAATTCGCTGTATATTGCTGACCCGCAAGCGAAGCTTCTGCTCTCGCTTTTGTCCTCGCCTGGTGTATCGCTCCCGGAGGAATCTTACCCTTTGTTGCTCAGGCTTATGCATATATGGATTAGGAAATCTTCACGCCCGTCTTCTTCTGTTGTGGACTATGCTGTTGAGGTTCTCTTGCACCTTTTCTCCAAACGGTTTCGGTCCGATGAGATCTTGGCTTTCTATTCTGAAGCTGTTCTTGTACTTGGTGCTCTTTCGATTGTAAGTTCGGCATCAGGGAAATCTAAAGAGGCCTGCCTTCAGATGCTGTGTGTTCTTTTTGAAAAAGAAATTAAGTTGATCCACATTTCTGAAGGATTGATTCCGAATGTTCTTGCGGGGATTGGCTATGCTTTATGTTCTTCGGTTAATGTTCATATGATTAGAATTCTCCGTCTTCTATTTCGAGTTTGGGATAAAAAGGATGGTCCTTCTGCTAGCATTGATAATGGACTTCTAGTGCTACATTTAACAGAGTGGGTCATATCGAATTTCGTCAACTCACATTCTTTGGACAGTATTAATATTTTCAGAAGAGAGGTGCTGGATAATCCACATCCGACTTATGCATCATTTTCTGTTGTAATGGCTGCAGCTGGAGTTCTAAGGGTTATCAATAGAACCAATGCGCACATGGTAATGCACCTGAGAGTTCCTGCAGAGGAGAGAATTGATGCTGTTGCAAGGAACTTGATATCTTTAACTGAAGATTCTATGTATTCAAGTGCAGAGCCGAGAAACAGTTTTCTACTACAATGCATGTCATTAGCTTTATCCAGATGTGGTGCTGTTTCTCCTAGACCTTCACTCCTTTTCTGCCTTGCGGAAGCATTACTGACTGAAATCTTCCCATTGCGAAGTATATATTCTAGGATTCTAGAATCACATGCTGGGGATTTTGCAGACATTGAGCTAAGTGTTCAAAAGCATTTGGATTGCACCATATTTAAAGAAGCAGGGACCATTGCTGCTGTATTTTGCAATCACTATGTCTCATCTGATAAGCTAAACCAAAGTGCTGTAGAGAATCATATGTGGGATTACTGTCAATGTGTCTACTTGTGCCATCGGCAGGTGGCTGTAATGTTAGGAACCGGGAAGGAAGGGTTTTCTGTGAAACTAGGGAAAATTGCTGAATCTGCTTTCCTTATGGTTGTGGTCTTTGCATTGACATTAACAAAGCACAGTCTAGGATCGGGGACTGCTTATGAAGAACATTTGAAACTTTCCGTACAGATATTAGTTTCTTTTTCTTGTATGGAATATTTTCGACGGATGCGTTTGCAGGAATACATGGATGCAATTAGAACAGTTATTACTAGTGTTCAGGAGAATGAATCAGCTTGTATTTCCTTTGTGAAATCGATGCCATCTTATGCTGATCTAATAAGCAATCCAGGTCTAACCTATTTCCTCAATTAAAAGTTCACAAAAACTTGTATGAGAGCGTGACACCAATTTACCATGGGATGGTAATACTTTTAACCAAAAAATAATACCATTAAGTTTAAAGTTTGAATGGAAGTATTAGTTGTTTAGTATTGTGTTCATGTGTTGCCCCTCCACAATGGTAAAACTCAGACTATATGTTTCCTTGCAGTGTCATCTATTTCTCAAGAAATCAATTATGCATGGTCCACAGACGAAGTGCAAACTGCTCGAATTTTGTTTTATTTGCGGGTTATTCAGACTTGCATTGAGTGCTTGCCAGCATCTGTTTTTAGGACGGCAGTGGTGCCAACTATGTTTTTGTATCCTATTTTGATTGACAACAATGGAGATTTAGTTGCAAAGAAAAGAATTGGACGTTTCCTTCATTCAATGTTTAATTAGATATATGGGACATCCAACTCGAAAAGTGGCTAGAGCAGCACACTCAGTATTTGTGGCTTTCATTTCATCAGGAGAGGGTTATGACCTTGATGAAAGGGTTACACTTAAGGAGCAACTTGTCTTTTATTACATGAGAAGATCTTTGGAGGTATTCATTTTAATGCCACGTGTAAATACATTGGTGTATCATTTTTTGGGACAGATTTCAATCTTTGACTGCGTTGAATTTGTAGGTCTACCCTGGAATTACACCCTTTGAGGGAGTGGCTGCTGGAGTCACTGCTATTGTCAGACATCTTCCTGCTGGAAGCTTGTCTATATTCTATTGCGTTCAGAGTGTTGTTGAAAAAGCAAATAGCATCTGCGGTGCTATAAAGAACTGGGAAGGAGAATTAGTAGAGCCTTTGAAGAAAATATTTGAACTACTTTTGCGACTCCTTCATCTTGTAGATATACAGGTACAGTGTTAAAAGCTAAACATGTCATTGCCTTTGCTATATTCTGTTATCTAGATGCACACATTGCATGTCAAATTTTCCTTGACAATTGATTCTTGTGCAGACGTGCTGTAAAATCTTTCATTTCTATATCCATTATCACTCTGTTGGTGAATCCTTTCATTGTTTTTAAAGAGGAACATTCGATTTTGCAGTTAGAGATTTCAGATAGTAGGATGGAGAATTTCTTCTTTAGAAATATTTTTTTTCTGATAAAGATGTTTTAAGCGTTTCAGGTTCTGCCTACTTTGATGAAGCTTCTCGCTCACCTGGTTGTTCAGCTGCCCACTGATGGCCAGAATATGGTTCTTAATGATTTATATCAGCAGGTTGCGGAATTAGATGATGTTACAAGGAAACCAGCATTGGTATCTTGGGTACAGTCACTATCTTACATCTGTTCTCAAGAATCAAGCAGGAGAGCATCAATTGAGGCAGCTGAAAAACTGCACACTGCCAGTATTGGAAATGTAGGCACATTAAGCATGAACAAAATCAATGCACGATTATGATGGATTTGTAAGGTATGTTGTAAATTATTACTCCCTCCATCTAGATTTAGTTTTTCCTGTTTGAGACGTTCAGAATTAGTCATTGACTTACTATATTTTAGATGATAAACTATTAAACTCACATGAATTTCCCAGCACACCCGTAAGATATAACATACACAGTGAATATTACTCCAATATTTGGTTACATGTATGAAATAACTACCAAAAACAAAACATTTTATCATAATTCCTAAATTTGGGATGGGAGGTGGACAACTATATGGGATACTTTTAATGGCTAATTCACAATCTTATCATGACAAAACATTTTATCATAATTCATAACAAAATATTTTATCATAATTCCTAATTCACAATGTATGGCTATTTTTAATGGATATTAATTATTATAAAATTACTCTGTACTGAATGCTCATGCCATGCCTGGCATACTTTAACTTACACATCATTGTGAAATAGGCTAGGAAAAGCTTCTACTGCTTGGGGCCGCAAGATATTTATGCAAGCTTTGTTTATATGTTTTGAAAATGAATCTTTTCGACTTTGATGCAGCTTTGACTACATGGGGATATGCTGCTTTTTAAAATGGTTCCCCCAATTTATGCTTGCACCCCCACCTAAGCCTCTGAATTTTTATGACTCTACTAAAAAGGTACTAACAGCACCCAGCTACGGTCTTGGAGGACTGTAAAAAATGATTGACTCATTCATCTGGAAAAGATATACTCTTGGTGCTGACCACAAATTACCAGAAATGGTGTCATCTGGTATGGTACGCCCGAACACCCGATTATCAGCTTCAGAATGAGTAGAAAAAGGTACTGCATTGCCACTGTTCAAACTTTTAATGACTGACCAATCTTTTGTTGTTTCATTTTGTGGTCCTGCTCTTACTATGAACTTGGTGCTTAATAATTGGTTTGGAAATCAAATACTCCCTCAATTGTTTGTTTTGATTTATGATGTTTGACTAAAGTTATTTTGTATATAATTTATTAGAGAATTGGAGAATAATTTAAAAATAAGCTTTACATATTAAAAATTACATCAAAAGCTCTACATAACAAGATGTGACATGACTATATTATCATAATATCAAATGAGTAACAAAAATATGGAAAGAAAGTGAATGAAGTTAATTTGGGATGGAGGTAGGAGGGAATATAATTTAATGCTATATCACTTTTTTGCATGTTGCAAATTGTTTGAATTTGTTAATCATTTCCTGCTATCTTAAGCTAACTGACTCATCAATCTATTCGTCCCCATCATCATACCTGAACCATTATGTGCTTTATTAAATACTACGCATCTCATAGTCTAGACCATTGGTAGAAGCGGACTTGGGGTCATATCATCATATGTCTGTAATATTTTAGGTGTGTTCTCTCAATAGGAAAACCAAGCTTGCGAGTGAATATTTTCAAAGTATGATATATAACTAATATTAATGTGCATGGTTATGTACTTCCCAAATATATTTGGTTTAGAATTGATCTCCCAATACAATTCACAAGTACATTGCGTTACAAAATTTGCAGATTGGATTGACCTTCTCATCCTTCCATCGCCATCTCCACATCATTAGGTTGAAGCTCTCCAGCCAGATACCTGTTTTGCTTGTTTTTGGATTTCGGGAAGCGCACATTTGGGTCGTGGAACTTCAAGTAATTCATATAACTCCATATTGTTTATTTCTTAATTGCAACGCTGATAGACGTTACATTACTTTACTATGAGTAGATTATTACAGATGTAGTTGTCTTCCTAAGTATTAATTGTGTTCCTAATTCTTTTATTCAGGAAAAAAACAGATTGTTTGTCAAATTCATGTATGGGTGATATGCATTTTGGTTCATGGCTAAAAAAAGTTGGGTTTTTTATTAATGTTTGACTAATGGTGTTATAAATCATTGTGTCACTTTTGTTAATGGTTCAGAGAGTTTGGGGTAGAACGCAACTTATGCTTGCTTTAGTTTGAACATCACCTCCAACTAATCTTCTTTGGAGAAGACTTTGATGGTAATGTGTAAAAATGTAGACTTGATGGATCCTTTAAAGCTTCACATAATCACATGTAGACTTCACTAATGGGCTATTTGGGAACTTAGAATTGATCCAAATGATATGTTTAGGAATTAAACAAGTTTTTGTGTGCGTTTATTTATCTTGTTACATTTTTATTATTTTGTGATTAATATTTCGTGTAGTTTTGATTTGCCAACAATGTGTGGGGGTACGGGGTAGATAGAAACGGTCTGGTTTTTGCTCTTTGTGATTTCTAAAATGGAGGAACTTGAAACCGAAATCTCTTGGGGCCAACAAGATTCCAATCCATTATAATGCCTCCAATCCATTTATTACTCCCTTCGTCCCAAATTATAATGTCTGTTTACTATTCACAGGGTCAAACTTCATTCACTTTCTTTCTCTATTTTCGTTAGCAATTTGATAAAATAAAATATTATTGCCACTACTAGTTTTGTAGATCTTTTGATGTAGTTTTTTAATATGCAATTTTTATTTTTTAATTCTATACCATTTGTCATATAAAATGGTTTGAAAATAATTTCAGTCAAACATCGTAAACCAAAACAGGCGTTATAAATTGGGACGGAGGTAGTACGTATTATGGAGTATTATTTTTAGAATGTATGGAGTATACTAAGCAAAAAATATACAATTGGACATTAGGATATGGAATATTAGATTAAACAAAAATACAATTCTTACAAAAATAAATTTCTATTAAATCATACTCTTTATGTCCTAATTTAAATCATTTGTTTATTACTCCGTATTTACATGGTTAAACCTTGTTTACTTTATTTATTTATTTTTGTTAGGCCATTGATAAAATAATATAATCTTGTCACTACTAATCTTGTACATTTTTTGATGTATTTTTTAAACATGTAATTTTTATTCTTAAATTCTAGACCATTTTTCATGTATAATAATTTTAAAATAACATTTGTCAAATCTCGTAAAGCAAAATGGATAATTTAAATTGAGACGGAGGAAGTAATTTCAACTAAACAAAAAGAATAGAAATTTATGAAATGGCAGGTTGCCTTTTAAAAAACATATGAATCAAAACCACACCTCCATGGATAATTATAAGTTGAACTGCTAAAACCTTCTGATGGCATTAAAATCATTTTTGAAAAAAGACCGTATCATGACTCTTATCGAAATGGTAGCAGCTCGTTTGTTCGGTTTCCCTAAAAAAAATTCACTTTTATTTTACTTGTGATTCTCCGTTACCAACTTTAGTTTGGAGTCAAAATTTGATTCCAAAGTCAAAATCAACTTGTGGGATGTAATTGATGGGGGTAGGGGCGTGTTCGGGTCGGGATGGGGGAGGTTTACCGGAGGGGTAAGAATCGCCAATTTTACAAACGGAACACAGGAGCACTCTCGGGTCATCCCATGACATTGCCGGACAATGTCATGGGAACCTTGCTGTTTTATATTTAATGGGAGCATCTAAAATGACATCAATTACTTACACCAGTTGCTTACACCAGTTCGTTTGGGGTACCTACAGTGTTCTGTTTGTGAAAACGACGGTTCCTACCTCACCTAACCCTCCCCCTAAACCCCCACCCCAACCCCATCCTTGCCCCCCCACCGCAGCCCCACCCTTGCCCCCCACCCCAGCCCCCCCTCCCTACCCTGGCAATACATTGCCAAAGAGGGGGCGGGAGGGGGCGAGAGGTGTGGGGGGGGGGGGCAAGGGTGAGGCTGGGTGGGGGGTTTAGGGGGAGTGTTAGGAAGGGTAAGAACCGTTGTTTTTACAAACGGAACACCGTAAATACCCCAAACGAACTGATGTAAGCAAATGACACCAGTAGCACTGATGTCATTTTAGACTTAACGATATTTAATAGTATAAAATTTGATGTTTCAAAAATATACTTTAAATTCAGGTGATAAAAGTACCAAAATACTTCTTAATTAATCACTGTTTGAGTAATATTATTTACGAAGGACTATCTGAAGAATACAAATCTCAATTATAAAAGATCATGTAAATAATGATACTCCAATTATAAGTACGGAGTAACTTATTAAGAACTGAATTAGAAAAATACGTTATTACAAAGGATTATTTTGAGAATTTACTCATAACAAAAATAAGTAAAAAAAATAAATAAAATTTGACCGTGTGAATAATAAATGTGCAATTCAATTTGAAACAAAAGGAATACGGAGTATTATTTTTATTAATATTTTGCTAATATAAAAGATATAGTTAGTCACACATTAGGCTCAAAGAGTAGTGAACAAAACATTTAAAAAAGAAAGGATGGAGTAACAAACAAGGCTAATAGAAACAAAAGATACTCAAAAAAGTTCAACCAAAAAAACGTTTGTGTGCTCAAAAAAAATACTCCAAGATAAACTACTCGGTAACAAACAAATACTCCGTACAACGCACTACTTTTCCATAAAAATCCCTAAATGCCCAAAAAAAAGTTACAAAAACAAACCCTAAATGCAGTAATATAAATATATAAAGGTCCAAAAATGATAATATAAAGAAGACACTCTTCTACTAATCACTCTTTCACCTCTTTGCCAGCAAGAAACCTTTTTTAGCTGCAGACCTCACTTGTCATCCCCACCACTTTACTTCCCATAAGGCCTGTCCTTGCTGAACCCATTCGATCTTCCTTCAGTTTTGCGCTTCTTCCTGAACTTGGACGCATTGCTGTCTATATTCAAGTTTACTTTTGGGGGAGATGAAAAACAGAAAGATGCCGCCACCGCCTGCCAGAAGACAGTCAAAGTCACACTTCCAGCCCACAAAAGAAAAGGGTAAAAGTTGAAACTTACTGTGTGTGTAGCAAAACGACAATCTCCTAAAGGTGTGTTTGTCATGATGAACACATCCCCTTGTTGGGTTAAGGTTATTTTTGGAAGAAAAAAAAAACTCGTAATCAAAATGAGCATGTCCCCTGGTCTGGTTAAGAAATTTTCCAGGGACGAAGCTAGTGTCATCCATCCCCGCCCTTTATTTTCATTTCCCTCCAATTCTGTCCATTCCCTGGTTTTGCAAAATATTCCTTCAGCCCCATAATAAAATACACTACTTTTTTTCGGTTGTATCACAATAAAATTCACGTTCTTTTCAAGGAGAGAGTTGTATGGTTCACATTCATTGTGTCTTTACAATTTACATAAATCTTAACCACACAATTTCACTTTGTTAAAGTGTGCTCCTTCAAGTGCACTATGAAATACTCTCTCCGACCCATAAAAACAACAACCCAGTTAAATCCCACAAGAGTAGGGTCTGGGGAGGGTGTGTGTACGCAGACCTTGCCCCTACTCAAAAGTAGAGAGGCTGTTTCCAAAGAGACCCCCAGCTCAACGTCGAAAGTTGCATTGCTTGACTAACTGCTACTTCATTAATTAAAGAAGCGCAGACAGTTTAGAGATCCATTTTGATTTATTCCATCACCCCAAAGCCAAAAAATGGTGAAATTTTGGCTTTTTTGTTCGTACCAAAAAAAATGGTTTTACTTTTTATGGGTCTCCGACCCATAAAAAGGTTTTACTTTTTTGTTCGTACCAAAAAATGGTTCTACTTAACATTTCTATAAAGGTTTTTGTGGCCCATATATTTTCTCTATCCTCTACATCACTTTTAACCACACAATTTCACTTTTTTTAAACTTTTTACGAGAAGGAGAGAGTACATATATTGGCGGAGGAAGTAACTAAAATCATTATGATCGTCAAAATCAGTTTCCAGAACCACGGTGAGTTTATTCTGAACTTAGTTATAAAAGTGACCCTATATAGACTTTCAAGAATTCCATCAATCACCTTAAGTGCAAAGCCCTGAAAGCAGTCTTGGCACATTTATGAATCCATACACAGCATATTTTTGACATCTAATCTAAATAAGTAATGTGATACCTGCAAATCAAGCCGGTGTACATTGAATATATCCTTCATGGAGTGTGAATTATATGCCAATATGTATGATCTATAAGCCTCTTTAGCAGATTTGTTCAGATAAAAATTATTTGAAACCAACTTCTCCTACAAAACAGATATTTGGTTAAACATCTCCAAATAAATCATATGAAAAAAGAAAGAAAAACGTGCAAGATTACCAGGTGAGACTGCACATTTGCCAGCATTCTGTTATCAAACTCATATTCTTTTACAGGTACTTTTTCCGCCTGAAAACAATTGTAGATTAGAAACTCCCACATACAAATTATCAGCAGTAGAAACTTATCGATGGCAGATATGAGTACTCTGCTTTCTCAAGAACTTAATAACTTTCATTTCAGATAGAACATATCTCTCAAAATCATTTACCAAATAAAGAAACACATCACAATTAATGACGTGAGTGACCTTACCACCTGAAAAGCAGAGAAAATTCTTAGACCCGATGGTATTATTTTAATTTTTTGCATTTACACATATGAAGCCCATGTTTGGAATGATTTGTGGTCAGAACTGGATTTAGGAGATAAGAAAAAATCCCAATGGGGAAAAAGTGAATTCAAGAAATTCAATAGAATAACTAAAAAAAATTAATCCGAGAGGCCTCATACACAAGGAGGCTATTTCTACTACTTGAAGCCTATTACATAAGGAGGATGATTCTAGTACATGAACCCCCTATAGCTGTGCTCTGTTTGATTTAACAATTTCTCCATTAATTTTTTTCACAAAATGATGGAAAGAAATTCAGTCAGTCTGACCCAGCATGTATACGATATTGCTAAGTTACTTTTAAGTGAATTCCAAGTAATACAACAGACCTGAAGATAAGAAAGAAACATCAATTCCTCTGGAATCAAGAAAAGCAAGGCATTCCCCTTGGCACCTTCACCACGAGCTGTTCTACCTACTCTGTGAATATATTCCTGGCCGGATATACAACACAAAAAATTATAAGGCCATACTTCAACTCTTTCTTGAGATATTTATTTTGTAAAATGAGTCGTTTTATCCGGTGGAGGGATTAATAAACAATCTTTATGTACCGTAGGACAATCTGGGGGGTCATACTGTATAATCCAGTCCTACAAAGGAGGAAAGAAGATCATCAGTGTATATCACTGGATGTTCAAAAAACAGAGGATCAGACAGGGAAAGTGAAAGCATCATCTATTTAAACAATTACGAAAAATACAGTTAACACATGATAGTAATTTACTTGCTAGTATACATGAGAACAATTTTGTAGATTTGTTAGAAACACACCATTTAACATAGAGCTATCGTTTCTCTCTTTGTACTAAATTATTAGAGCACATCAGGAATGTATAGCGCTATTTCTTTTCCAAAAATCATACCACATCAGGAATGTCAAGACCCCTTGCAGCAACATCTGTACATAACAATATGCCTTTTTCGACTTTGCAGAAATCAAAGAAGGTAGATGTCCTTTTTTGCTGCTTTTGCTTTCCATAATAATCTAAACATTCAATGCCGATGTATCGAAGTAGTTCTGAGTGGAACTTTACAGAGTTGCACGAAGAGAAGAAAACCATTACTTTCTTTGAAAGGTTCTTCTTCAGAAAGGAATAAAGAAGGACAAACCGCTTAGCACTAGGGATGACACAGTACCCCTGCTGGAGTCCTTCATTTGTTACCTTCAATCAACAGGAAAATGTTAAGTTGGTCAAAAAAGAACTATCTTTGAAAGGTACCTATAAAAGAATGACCACAAACGTAATATTCGATGATAAAGGACTAAATATGGAAAAACCCTGTTATAAAAGAACTATTTCAGAATTTACTCGCAAACTAAATATCGTCATAGTAAAAGTGGAAGCACAAGCAGATATATTGTGTACCCTCTTTCTTCCAGCATCCACATCTATGTAGACAGGAGTTGTTTGAAAAGACAAGCGAGCAAGATCCTCAACCTGTAAAAAGTCCACATTATCTGGAGAAGCAAACACAAATTCTGAAAATAGATGGAAAAGAAACACTTTGCACAAAAAACTGTAATTGTTGAGTTCACTTAGACAGAAAAAAATGATATTTTTAATATAAATAAGGGTTTCAAACATATGCAATCAAGTATGTGACATAATAAACTCTGTGCAATTACCCTCCTTAGGAATTCACATCAATATGAAACTTAAGTCATGAGATCCAACCTTGGATTGATCTTAAGAGCATCCTTATTTTGAAATTCATCCATCCAATCATTCCTCTCTCATATGTGTCATCTCCACATCATCCATCTTTAAATACCTTATTTTTTAAACAAACACTCGCAACCCATTTCATCATTCCATCCGTTCATTTAATTATTCAAGGGTCTCGTACTCTAGATTATTATTATTTTAAATAATTAATACTCCGTATTATAATATAGTATTAATTGTTTATTCTAATATAATTGATGAATAAAAATATTGCAAAAATACTCCGTATTAAATTAAATATTAAGAAATTATATGAATTTATATTTACAAGAATCAAATTAGGGAAGAAAATTACAACAATTTAATATAAATATAAACTCAATAAAATTAAAATTACAAAATAAAAAAATAAATAAATAATAAAAAAGGAGGTAATAACAACTAAAATATGAAATCAAAGATTAAAATGGGTGGGTGTGTTTATTGGAAACATAAAAATTACGGAGTAAAATGTTTAGTTTAAATGTTTAGACATATTACAGTGGTTCAAATACTCATATGCATCCATTCATACTATTAAATTGTGATCTAAAAACCACGCATCAAAGCCGTTATTTAAATAGTTACTTAGAGTGATATCCTTTTTCTTTTCATTGGTGTAACAAAGGTTTCTTTAGAAGGCCAAAGTTTTCCAAAATACCTTCTTAGTCTGTGTAGCAGAAAATAGAGCAGTTTGTCTATCCTGAAACACAAGAAGAAAATCTGTTAAACTGGCAAAAGATGCAATGAAAAAACGTGGTACAATTACGAAAGCATTTTGAGATAACTTAGCATGGCAAACACTAAAAGATGTGCAATATCAGTTTAAGCATGCCATTTTAACCAGTCACTCTTTAACTTTTCATCTACATAGTGATGGATCCATAGCAGTCAAACTCGCGATCCGGATCATACGATTCTATGATTCCAGAGATCGCCAGAAGGTTTCCGATCCAACTTGCCCTCAAAATCACAAAATTTCTTTGGGTCGGAAGAATCACAGATCAGGATCGCAGAATCGCAGGAGATCATCGATTTTGAAAACCCTATTTCATCGCTTCGATTTTTTCGGAAATTTGAATCGGTAATTTGAGTCAGAAATTTCTTTGCTTCGATTATTTCCCGGCTACCAATTCCAATCGTGATTATTTATACCTTCTCCAGGTCCATGTTTTATTTACAGAGCACAAATACTCTTACAGAACACCCGTTCAAGCTCTGCTTCTGCCCTGCGCTTCTCTTTTATTTTCTATAGATTACCATGTCAATCCCTACTTCAGCGACACCATTTCTGCTTTAATGAAAATTTAATTAACACACACACGCACGCACGCACGCACCGCACGCACCGCACGCGCACGCACGCACGCACGCACGCATGCACACACGCATGCACGCATGCATACATGCATACATACATACATACATATATAGTAGGATCTTACGATCCGAGTCACGATCTTACAATGTTACGATCTTCATTACGCCTATCGATCCTATGTAGAATCTAGAGTTTGACTACCATGCATGGATCACTGTAATTCAAATGCTTGCACCTAAGGGGAGTAACTTTAAATTTAAAATGATAAATTTGGCTTAATAAATATTCAAATGAAACTTGGTAGTGTTAACAAATGTTGTTTGGAATGGCTTTTCATGTTGAGTTAATAAGAGTATGATTGAACCATTTGTGGCTTCATCGTTGAGTTCTCGTTTAATTTACTTTTGTATCAAAAGTTTGTGTATGTGTTCTTTAGGTGTTCATTCGAATGGTGAAACCCATCTTCAAAGTTTTAGACAAAGTAAAGAAGAAGCTTCAAACGAAGATCATAGGATAGCCGAAGTAGTTACTACTCTGTGACGTTCAGTTTACATAACGAATTTTAAGTATATGACTGCCTAAAGTTAACTTTAAAACTAAAAATCACATAAAGAGAGGAAACAGAACTGCAGCGCATCACATAACATGAATTCCTGACTTGCTGGTTTATACACAACAAATTTTACTATGTTTAATAAACGTTCTATATTTAGCTATTAGAGTAATAAACTAAATTATATAAAGTATAATATACAAACAATTTTGCAACTAAGAACACAGCACTGGTACCTTCAAGTTCTTATATACAAAGCCCTTGGTGTTGTTAAGATGATCGAGAAGACGCCCAGGGGTAGCTACTAAAAGGTTTGCTCCTTTCGTAAGACGCTCAGCTTCCCCTCTTCGCGCTGCACCTCCAATAACCAATCCCAGAGTCTGTGAGTGATACTTAAGCAGCTCTTTTGCCACAGCATGAGTCTGAATCATTACTGAGGGTTAGGTTGGAATTAAAACTTCCCACTCTCAAATAATAATACCAGATTTCAAAAAGTATATTTTGTTATTCAACATATATCAACGTGCAAGCACATAGACACATGCGCACACGAGATCTTTAGGTAGTTGTGGTTTGTTTCGCTGCATGAGAGACCATTTGACATGAAAATAGCCAACCAGCAAATGGCAAGGAAACAATGGTGCAATATAAATAACTTACCTGAATGGCCAGTTCCCTAGTGGGGCAAATGATGATGACTCCAGTTCCATTGCGATACGTAAATTGAACATTAAATAACATTTCAACAGCCGGTATGAGAAATGCAAGAGTTTTACCAGAGCCAGTCCTTGCAGCACCAAGAACACCTTTTCCTTCCAACAATGGAGGAATTGCTTGAGCTTGGATCTTCAAAATATGAAAGAAATATTAAAATAAAGATCCTACACTGAAATTTTGCACTGCAGGCAGGATAATAAATTTATTTCAAGGCTTATTCTCAAGGTAGAAGGATGCAACACACCAAATAAGATAAATTCAAATTACATTTGATGGAGCTATAGATACTAAATTAAGAATACTTGCATTTTTTATAAAGTACTGCATATACTAGTATCAATCACCATAAAACTTCTGACAAATTAAAGACAACTCTAAATGTAGCATTAAGATTTTGAATCTTACTAAAGAGCCTGCAGCCAAAAATAATTACCAGATCACACAAGGAATATATTTCAAAACCAAAAAGACACCAGTACAGATTTTTTTCCAAGGCATACCTTAGTCATGTGCTTAAAACCCATCTCGTTAATAGCTTTCATAGTCAGCTCTGAGAGACCCAAAGTATCAAACGATTCTATACTCATTATCCCTGAGCTGGAACTCCTTACTACCTTCTTTATCTCCTTCACCGCATCCTCATCCACCTCTTTGGCTTCTTCTTCCTCTTCCTGATCATCTTCCTCCTGCTCTTCTTCTTCTTCTTCTTCTCTTCCTTCGTCGTCTTCCTCCCTCTTTCTAACCTTATCCCTTTTTTTCTTTTCCTTTAACTCATGTTCTCCCATGTTCTCATCTATGTCTTTCTTCTTCTTCTTCTTCTCCACATTCTTTCTCTTAGTTCTCTTTTCTTTCTTCAAGGTCCTTTCTTCTCCCTTGTCATGCTTGCCACCATCATTTTCGATCACATTTAATTTCTTCCGCTTACTTTTGTCTTGCTTCTTTATCTTTTCGGCTTTACTGGATTTGTCCTTTGGGGTTTCAGTCATCGCAAAGATAGCGTTGAAGTAGTTGGAAGGTGCTGCTAAGAAGAAAAAATGTATTAAAACATCTGATCAAATTGCAAGTTGGGATGGGCCAAGGCGCTATGTCGTGAGTATCTTCTAGGCCCAAGTCCAGCCCACACAACTGGTCCAACCCACATTTAAACTGATTTTTGAATAATTAAAAAAATGATTTTAAATGGAATAGTCTTTAAATAGCTAGAGATGGCCAATTTAACAATTTTAAACAAAATATTTTCATGCCCAAAAAAATGGATTAGAACACTAAAGAGAATTTTTTCAATCTTAAAACTAGTAGCTCATTGTGCTCATGCAATGAAAATACATATTCTTACTTCAAGTAATCACTAATTCTGGTGCACATAAAATAAGCGATTTTAAAACTTGAACTCAAAGAAACAAGATAATGCAGGTTTATCTGGATCTCTAAAACCCATTTGAAATCTATCAATTACCAAACTTAAACTTGCACCATATAGCTTCAAAAACTAAAGTTTACTCCCAACGGTGACGCAGGTTAAAATTAAATATTTGATTTTGTGAAGAAAAAACTACAGGACAAAAACAAGTGAAAACGAATCATAAACCAGAGCCACTGACTTTGGTGAAGAGGATGGAACGGAGAAGAAAAAAATCACTAAATTCAGAAATTAAAGTTAGAAAAATGTTGGAAAAAAACTAGGATCATCAGTTTTCTTTTTCAGTTTTCAGTTTTCAGTCTTTTTTTTTCAGTCTTTTTATATATATCTTAAATTCATGGCAATTTGTCAATTTTTCAGTTTTTTTAGTTTTTCAGTTTTCAGTTTATATATATATATATATACACACACACACACATACATACATGCATATATATATATATACACATACATACATACATATGTGTATATATATATATATTTTTTTTTTATTTTTTTTATGTGTGTGTGTGTGTGTGTGTATCATAAATGCAAATCAATTCATCCAAATCAAATAAAGAATATATGGAACCATTAATTCATTTATATTTTATGGCAATTAGCAAAAATTACAAACTAAAAATTAATAATTAACCCTACATTTTACATCCAAAGAATGAAACAATGAAAGAAAGAAAATTAAGAAAAAAATTGCTAAATTGGAAAGATAGTGAATACGTTACCGGCGGCGTCTGGAGTCTGGAGGGTACCTGGAGGGTGCAGCGGCGTCTGGCGGCAGCGTCTCTCTACCGGCGGCGTTCTAGCAGTCGGCACTCTCTTTCCGATTCGGCTTCGGCAGTAGGCTTCGCCCTCTTCTAGCTTCTGCGCCTCCGCTGTTTGCGTTAGTAAATAGGAAGGGATGGGGCGGCGAATGAGATAGGCTTTTGACATATTGGGCTGGGTCTTGGGCTTTTATATGCATGCATATAATATTAAAAAATAATTGGGTCTCTTACAATTATGGGCCCGGTCTGGACTGACTGTTTGTCCCTTACAAGCACCTCTAGTTCTCGAAATTCTAATTAAAGAGCACATATACATAATGAAACATATTAAAATATCAAAAAACAGCTTTCATAAACAAATCTAAAAAAACATTCACATTTTTGTTGACAACATAATCTAAAGCTAAATAAAATGTTAAGTATGAGAATGTCAAGTTTACAAAATGTATAAACATTTGCTATACACAATGTATAGTAATAAAACAAATGATGAAGAGAATACATAATAAACAAAAAGAATCAACATAGTGTATAATGAGGTGGTCAAATGAATTTCAGGGTGCTATGAACTCTGAGCAGGCTTTGAATGAATTTCAGAATTAACACCATGCTACTTCAAAATGAATACTAAGCTGAGTATGCTTGGAATGAACACTACGATTTTTCAAAATGCACACTACATTGTTCATAAATGAATATTATAATTGTATTGAATATATATGTGTGAAAATGAACACTATGTTTTTTCAGAATGAACATTATGTTGATTCAAAAAGAACTTTTGTCTGGTGTACCTAGCACTAGGTACCCCCATATGTACAATATAAGCTTTCATTAGCCACAAGCGGGCTTTATGAACTACTCCGCGTAATTACAAGGTCATACTCTTTAATTATGCGAGGTGATACTCCTTAATTAAGAGTAATACTTAAGTATGTCCATAAAAATATGAAAAATTATTTAGTTTATTTTTAGAACTTAAATTTCTAGATTGAGTAAAGAATAAAGATTGTAGTTATTTTACAACATTTTTTATTTCCAATTTATGGATTTAGTGATTTTGTCTTCTTCTTTGTTCCATCATCTTCGTAATCAAAGTGAGGAGCTTTGGTTTATGTTCAGTGTTTCATAGATTCCAACTGGGGTTTTGCAGATCTAGATGTATCGACATTATCTTGTTTTTGAAGCGTTTAGAATTTGGGTCCATCATAATTATATTTTTTTATTTATTGGCTGGTATACACCCGTACGTTGAAAAATTAAAGCTGTCAGGAAAACTATTTAAACATATAAACAATTAACTTTTGGGTGTCTCATCCAAGATAAACAATCAAATTTGAATTTAGGCTTCGTTTGACCAATATTTGAATTTAGGAAGTGTTTCTCTATGCTTGTGTTTTATAACTTTACCTTTTAAATTATAAGATGTGTATAAGTTAAATATTATTTCGTGGAAATAAAACGAATTAAATGATAAATAATTCATTTGAGAATATTCATAAATGATGAAAAGTAGTTTTTAAATAATGTGGTCAAAATGTAATTTTGAAATAAACACTAAGCCGAGAAGGCTTGGAATGAAGAGTATGTTGTTTAAGAATGTACATTTCGTTGTTCGTAAATTAATATTATGATTGTATTGAACAAAATTATGAAAATGAACATTGCGCTATTCGTAAATTAATATTATAATAGTATTGTACAAACATGTGAAAATGAACAAAACATGTCAAAAAATGACCTGACCGGATTTTTGACCCGAAAACCAACTAGAAAATACTGAGTTATGGATAAAGGTTTTGATGACCGAACCTGAAGTTAACCGAACCCGAAATGACCCTCTAAAAATGGGTCAAACGCGACCGAACCCGAACACGACCTGACTGATCCAATAATGTAAGAGTTTTTAAAAATTATATACTTTACTATGAAATATAGTGTTATAAAAATACAGTTATAATTATATTTTTTTCTTACTAATCGTTTTTAGTGTATAATTTTATATTTTTGGACAAAATTTTAACTATATTGCATACTTGACTTACCTTTTTCCAAAACTTGTGTATTTTTTATTATTTATATTGAATTACTACATCCGTCCCAGAGTATTTGTCTACTTTCATTTTTACACACCATCTAATACACGTCTTTAATCCATTTTATCTTATAATTTGTATATTAAAAAATTATAGAAATTATATATTAATAATCTATATGTTAAGACAAATCAATCAAGATCACACATAACTATATTTAGCCTTACACATTGAGAGAATTTGATGAGTCAAAGTGCTTAGATGAACAGTTTCAAAAGTCAAAAGTGGACGAATACTCCGCGACGTAGGGAGTATATATCTAAAAATTACTTGATAATTTAAAATAAAATAATCTAATATATTTAATACATATTTTTTGATATTTTAAATTTATTGAAGAGTAAATTCCATAAAAGGCCCCTCTTTATACTTTGTTTTACATATTTAGTCCGTACATATCAAATATCAATAATTTAGTCCACAATTATAATATTGTTTTCCACGAATGGTCCTTTGTTAACATTATCGTTAAAAATGTGAAAAAATTTGTAAATTCATACTCTTCTCTCTCCTCAATTAAGTTTCTTCTATCTTCTCGCACTTCTTTCCCAAACTAATCGCTGAGTTTGAAGCTTTAAACCCAAAAACCGAAATCACCCCTTCTCTCTCAATTGCTCGTCTTCATGCCAAAATCCAAAATCGAAACCAATAACCTTCATGAATGAGTTTTAAGGTTTGTTTTCTTTGCAATTTCTTGAGACTAACTCATAAATTTATCCATGGAGGTTATTAGTTTCAATTTTGAGTTCCACCAAGAAGATGAACAAATTAGAGAGGAGTTATCATTTCAGTTTTAGATTTAGAGTTTCAAACTAAGCGACAGGTTTGGGATAGAGGAAGCTTAATTGAAGAAAGAGAGAGGAGTATGAATATACAATTTTATCCATGTTTTTAACGAAAATATTAACAGATGACTATTTGTGGAAAACAATATAATAATTGGGGACTAAATTATTGATATTTGATATGTAGGGACTAAATATGTAAAACAACCTATAGTTGGGGACATTTTATGGAATTAACTCTTTATTCAATATAAAATACAAATGTTAATATGAATTTAAAAATTTAAAACACCAAAATCATAACTCATTGGGTCAATCCGAACATGATGACACTGGGCCATGAACATATAGTTTTCAATTTGAACCTGAATTAACCCAAACCCAAAGTCACCCGAATCTGAAGTGATCAAACCCGAACCGATCGACCGATTTTCCAGCTCTAAAGAATACATTATTTTAAAATGAATACTATAAATTAAGGGCATGATGTGAACATTTTAGATGGCTCCTAAGGTTAAGGTTTCCTTATGGCAGTCTTTGGGGATACTTCCAACCATTTTAGCGGCTTAACACGAAGGCCATGGTGCTTGATAACATTTGTCCACTTTGTGGTACTTCCGAAAAGAGCACAAGGCATATTTGGTTGGGGTTTGTTTGCACTTATTTTGTGGGGAAAGTTAGGATGAAACGTCATCATTCTAGTTCTCGTCTTAAAATGGGAATGGGAAGAGCTCAATAGAATTGATAATATTACTGATACCAACAAGGTGCATCTTCTTTTCGAAAGCTAATCATCTTGAAACTTCAAAGTTTAGCGTGTTTGACTTGGGGAAATTTTAGGATGGGTGACCAATTTGAAAATTCCTTGGGCGCACACTAGAGAGGACAAAGTGTGTGAGAAAAACTTGCGTTGGTTTATGGGGCCAGTCTACAATCTTATGAGCGGATGCTTACGGCCAGGGTGGGGGCTGGGGTGTTACAAATAGGGCTGTTCACATTTAGGTCCGGACCGAAAAAACTGACCGAACCGGACCGTTAGGTCCAGACCGAACCCAGACTGAATGGATTTTGGGTCGGTCTTCGGTCCAGAAAATTTAGGCAATCGGGTTTTGGTCCGATCCGGTCCAAAACCGAAATGATTTAGGTCCGGACCGATTGGACCGAATGATCCTACTGGACCTAAAAGATCTAAATACTAAAACTCTACTTTTTAAGTTCCCGTATTACATTTTGATGCTCTATTTTAATAGGTATTTTAATTTATTTAATTAAAAAGGTTTTTTATTAAGTAATTTTGAGAAAAATCTATAAAAAATGTTTTATATTTGTTTTTATGGTTCTACATTGAAGTAGTTCATATATGTGTATCCATTTTAAGGTTGCATTTTTTTTATTCATTTTCTATTTGAATGGTACAAAGTAAAAAGTCAAAAATATAGTTAATTGATCAAAATAATTAAAAAAATATGTATTTTTTTCGATCCAATCGGTCCGGACCGATTCGGTCCTAAATATTTCAGTCCGGTCTTCGGTCCGGTCCGGGTCGGTCCAGTTTGGTCCGGTCTTAGACCGATGAACAGCCTTAGTTACAAATGGTGTTAGAGAAACCCTACGATCGTGACGGGCCAAAAGAGCTTAGTTCACCTAGCGGGAAAGATCTAATGGCTTACAAAAAAAGGATACAACGAGGACGTTGCATTTCTAAGTGGAGGTGAATGTAATACCCCGTCTTAAGATGAGAATGAGAAGAGCTCAAAAGGATTGATAATACTACTCATACCAACAAGGTTCATCTTCTTTTTGAAAGCTCATCACCTAGAAACTCCAAAGTTAAGCGTGCTTGACTGGAGCAAGAGTAAAAGATCTACTTATATGAGCATGAAGTTTAGTTGCTTCAAGGAGTAAAGACTTATGCTTATGAAAGATTAGGACACAAGGCTAGTAAACAATAGTGTCAAGTTAGAACATTAAAGTATATAAAATTTTGTGTATATTATCTTCATGTATTCAAAATGAACAAAAATAGTTCAACCCTTAGTGATGCCTTGATATTCGAATATTTAAAATGTGTAATGTACTAATATGAAATTTAATCATCACGATATTTCATTTGTGCATCAATTTGTAGTTTGCTATGGATTTATTTATTTAATCAAGGATTACACTAAAATGGGGGAGGAATGTTATATATTTTAGTGTAATTGGAAAAACCATTTCACTAATGGTATCATAATAATTATCAAAGAAGTTTGGTGGTGCGGAGTGCATGCTTCGTTGAGTGTGTTATGAAAAAAGTCTCGTCTTAACGGGAGTTCAAGGGGGCAGCGCCCCCTTAGCAGGGGTTCGGGAAAATTTTTTAAGGGGCGGCAGCCGCTGCGGGGTCTAAGGGGCGGAACCCCTGGCTAGAGTCGAGAATTTTTTTTTATTTTTGACAAAGTGTTATGTTAAAAATTCATTTGATTTTTGAATCTCGAATTTTCCTTAAAAGAAAACTTTCGGAAAAAACATAGCCTGTTTTTCTCGAATTCACGCAAAGGGGCGCACATTTTGGATGAGAGACGTGACCCAAACCTTTCTTCTCTTCCGCGGCTCTATAAGCACAATTCGAGATCCTTGGTCGCAAAAGCACAATTCGAAAATCCACATTAATCCATACTTGTTATTGAAAAAATTTGAGTTTTATCCAATTGACCCGTACCTATTAACCCGATGGGTCTTGAAGTTTAATAATAGATTTGGATCCATTGGATCTCAGTATTGAGTCGGGTATACCCATGATAAAAGTTGACGCCTATTATTTTTCTATAATTAAAAAAATAGTGAAAATACTATGAATAAAAACATCTTAATAGAATACAAATGAAAATAAATTTAATATGTTACTACAAAAAAATATCGTTCTTCTTTACCCAAAGTATGTAACAAAAATCTTAGCTTCATAGTCAACGCTCTTGTCACACTTATGTGGTAAGAATGTTCTTTACAACAACAACAACCCAGGTGCATCCCACAACAGCAGGGTCTGGGGAGGGTGTGTGTACTAGGGGTGGGCACGGATCAGGACGGTCCAGATTTTAGATTGTCCCACGTCTTGTCCCGTTATATGTAAATGGTCCGGAACGGTTCGGATTACAATCTTATCCCGGTTTGTCCCATAAAATTGGGGATCAGAATAAAACGGGATGGATTCGGGTCGTCCTACTTTGTTCTAATCGCAAATATAAAAAGTGGAAGAGGATGAAATTTCATTCAAAAAAAAGAAACATCTAGTCATCCAACAAAAAAACAATGAGTGAAATGGGTCCAAATAAATTCCAAACTCATGAAGTTAATTTAATTAAATAACTAATTAATTTAAGAATGAGTGTGTTTGGATTTTGGACTAGAATTAGTATTATATATTAGTAGAGTAGATGAAATGGGACAAACGGGACGGATCGGTATAAATTTAAGTTGTCCCGCTCATGTCCCATTTGATATTGGGACGGAACGGGTTCGGGACAAAAAAAATGTGTCCCAATATATCGGTACAATTACAAAACGGATCCGGGATTTTTTGGAACGGTCCAACGGGAACGGATTTCACGCCCACCCCTAGTGTGTACGCAGACCTTGCCCATACTCGGAAGTAGGGAGACTATTTCCAAGAGACCCCCGGCTCCACCTGCACAAAAATATGGAAGGGAACACAGTATAACACAGATAAAGCACCAAATACAAGTAATAGCAGAAGATTCCAAAGAAATACAACACACCACAAAACAACCTTTACAATACCGAGCTCCTACCCAGCTACTCTAATCCTAGTTTTCCAAAGGTTCCTATCATAGTTTTTCAAAGGTTCGTAAGAATGTTCTTTACAACATTACTTCTAATTTCAAACTATACACCTCATACTACTGCATAAACTAAAGTGTACATGTTTCTAATATGGGAAAATAAATACAAATAGATTTGAAGAAGATGAGTAGTAGCAAACGAGAGGGCGTAGTTTTGTAATATTTAATATTATCTATTTATTTAACCAGTACAGGTTTAAACGGGTCGGGACTACTCATCCTATACTCGATCTTTTATTCTTTAAAAACAACGGGTACAGGTTCAAGTGCGAATAAATGATATTTTTCATATTTCTAAACCCGCTAAAAAATTACGGATTTTATACGGGTTCGGGTCTATACCCGACCCATTGACAAACCATGGATGTAGCTTAATTTTTTTAAAAAATCATTAGGCAACTCTTCAATAATTCCTCTCCACACATTAATGAATCACCTTATCTCATTTACCAAAGTCCTCAGATTTCCACAGCCATTTTCATTTCTCAAAATGCCTTCTTCACTTCTTCCACTTCTTACTTTTATTACATTTCCTCCGCCGCTACTTTTCAGTCACCACCGGCGATCAAAAGAAAACCTCCGCCGTCGCCATCCCCGCCTCCCCTAATGGCTACCAAGCCTGTTTACTCACTCACGATTCCCCGATTTCTTCACGCGTCGTGCAAAAGGCCATTCGTTTCTTCGTCTTTTGCTTCCTGTCCGTCTGCTTCTAGGCTTCGGTTGATCCATTTTGCTGGAAGGAAGGTCTTTCTTCAGCGCAGGTTTCCGGCTCTTCCTTCTCAGGCGAATACCGATCAGTCAGGTAGCTTTTGGAGTAACGAAATACTCTCTCTCTCTCTCTGCTTTATTAAATTAGGCGTATCTTTTAATCGGACAATTATATTGTATTGGCATGAAATTAGCCAGAGAATAGGACTAGGTGAACATAAAACGTAGCATCAATGACTTGTGGCTTTGCAAGTTGCAAATCAAAATTACTGGGATGAATATGCAATTACTCTTGTGCATGGCTCATTGAACAATTTTTCTTACCTGGTGTATTTAAAGAATATGAATCATGAATTATGTAAGGTGCAGCTGATCATGTACTGATCTAATACCTTTGATGATTTTAATTTTTAATGTTAGTTTCACAAAACTAGATCTTTACTCAAGGCCTCTATTTTTGCTTACAAAACATAACCTAATGAAAATAGTACTCCCTCTGTCCCACTATTTTTGGGACACGATGGAGTGGCTGGGAAAATTTAAAGAGGTAAGATTGTGCGGTTGATATTGATCTTTAAAAATAAGATAAAGTAAAAATGGATGTGAACCACACAAATATGAGAAAATACGGTGAGACAGGGGGAGTTATTATTAATAGAAGTATAATATGTTCAATTTAGAATTCTATTGATTTTTTTTTACTTTTTTGAATATAATTTTCAGAATATAAGCGTCTATAGAAGCTAATATGTAATATTGTAAATGCTGCCTTCTCTATTACTCTGTTGTATTTGTCTTGATTGAATACATGCAATTTGCTCTTGATTGAGAACGAGTTCCCATTTTTGATATTCTTTTACCACAAGTGCCTATTGGTAGCTGGGGTTTAGTCTCTCCACAAGTTTTAGTTATTTTTTGTGGGTTCACGTGATGGGGTGAATTGTAAAATTTGATTGGAAATCTAGTTTGAAATTGGCCGAGAAAGAACTATTATTAAGATATGGAATCAAGTACTTACTCTTTGTTTGGTAGGAGGGAGGTAAGGCTTTTATGAAGCATGTAATGCCTCCTACCCTGTTTGGCAAAGTCCACACCCTGTGTTCATCTTTCTCTGTCTTCTTGACAAAACTGTCACACCGCACACATAAGACTAATACATGTTTGCTCAAAGGGAATGGAGCAACAAAAGCACTATGTGATTGAAATATTCCACTTATATTGAACGCGTAAGTTTTAGGAATGCTATAATAGTGGCTTTGTCATATAGATCTAAATGTTGGACAATGAAGAAAGATTTGATAGAGAAGTTGAATGCGGTGGACTGTGTATGTCAAGATGGATGTGCGTTAAGAGTATAAAAGATAGAGTGCAGAGTGACAAAATTTGCAGGAAGACGGGGTAGTGCTAGTGAAGATAAAATGAAAGAAAACCGATTCTCTTGGTTTGGGCCCGTCAGTCATCTAGAAGTACGCGGCCTAGTCAACCGGTACACAAAGTAGAGTCGTGGAGTGTCAGAGACTTGAAGAAAGTCAGGGTAGGCCATAGAGGAGTTGGATGGAAGTTGTGAACCAGGATATTAGAGAAGCGAGTCTTAATGAATGTAAAAAGAGGATTTCAGCTGATCATCTCAATATATTTTCTATTGAGGTAGCTGATCCCATTATAGGTTGTAAATAATCCATAATCACAGTAAACGGATCAACAACTTCTACTAAACAATGTCTTTTGCGCTCCAGTTCAAGATTATTTTGTCAAAGATGTGGTAGAAGGCCATTCTGCTAGAGGGGTTTTATAGGGACTCCAAATACTATGAGAACAGATGTTTTTTGTTTTGTCTGCTTAACTACATATGAATACAACCAATAAGATTAGCTTTCCTTTCAGGTCAGGTCCGTGAAGATGAAGTTGAAGACAGTAAGATCTTACCCTATTGCAGCATTGATGGGAAAGAGAAGAAGTCTCTGGGCGAGATGGAACAAGATTTTCTTCAAGCATTACAAGTATCTTTATGCAAAATCTTGTTTTTGTTTTTACTTCAATTTTCTTCATTTTCCATTTCGTTGAATATCCTGGCCTTTTGCCAAATGTCAAGGATACAAGTAGATTTTAAAAGGTAGTGTTCCATGTGTATTCATGTTTGTAACTGTTTGATTTTTTTTCATTGCCTCAATGCTATAGGCCTTCTATTATGAAGGAAAGGCTATCATGACAAATGAAGAATTTGATAACTTGAAGGAGGAGTTAATGTGGGAAGGAAGCAGTGTTGTCATGCTAAGTATGTAAGAAATTTCTCACTTTTTTAATGAATTTTCTGTAGGGTTACATAGAGATCATAAAGTATACTACGTATATTAATAACATTCCAGCTGTCCAAATTTTTCATTTTGTTTAGTGAACATTCTAATAGTCATACACAGACATTATAAAGTATTTATTTGTAACTTCAAGTTGTCCAAATTGCAGGTGCTGATGAACAGAGATTTTTGGAAGCTTCCATGGCATATATTGCAGGGAAACCAATTATATCAGATGAAATGTTTGACAAACTAAAGATGAAACTCAAGGTACTCTGCAAAGTCAGATCTGAGAAAAGTTTAGAAAAATCCACTGAATTTTTTATTCTAATTTTTCATCTGTTGTTTTCCTTAAAGGCAGACGGGAGTAACATTGTGGTTGAGGGTCCACGGTGTAGTCTTCGCAGCAGGAAGGTTTGTAAGTTATTGTTCATCAAAACTCAAGTGTGGATAGGCGGTGCTAATTCACTGATATTACTTTCTGCAGGTTTACAGTGACCTCTCTGTTGACTACCTGAAGATGTTCTTGCTTAAAGTTCCTGCTACTGTTGTAGCCCTGGGATTGTGAGTCTAATTCTCTCTCTCTCTCTCTCTCTCTCTCTCTCCCACCAAGTCACTTTCTGTTAGATTTTGTTTCTAGTGATAATAATAATTTAATTCAGTAAAATTGATATTTTCCTATCTCATGGAAGGTTTTTCTTCCTTGATGACTTGACTGGATTTGAAATCACTTATCTTTTGGAGGTACTTTCTATGCACAATTTTGTTCCTTTCTACCATTTCTTGCTGCATTTTTTACTCTCTCTTGCAGTCATTATTTAACCGATGCATCATTTTTCGTTTCTAATATTTTTTTTCTATTTGCAGCTTCCTGAGCCATTCAGTTTCATCTTTACATGGTTCGCAGCTTTGCCTTTTATTGTGTGGCTGTCTTTTTCAATCACAGGCTTCATTGTTAAAGATTTCCTGATTCTAAAGGTATGATTAAAAAGATGCTGCTAGTAAAGTAACTCACCTTGAATGCCAATTCAGACAGTAACTTATTTTGGGTATGGTTGAAATTAACAAGTAAAACTCTCATATTTCAGGGTCCCTGTCCAAACTGCGGCACAGAAAATATTTCATTTTTTGGTACTATATTGTCAGTATCTAGTGGCGGTTCCACCAACAACGTGAAATGTTCAAAGTAAACTTTTTATGTGCATCTTGTGATCTTCAATCCATGGGTTTCATTAGAACAAGAATCATTAATTTTTATCTCTTTCCCTCATTCTCAACAGCTGTGGGACAGAGATGGCATTTGATTCAAGCACACGCCTGATTACACTGCCAGAAGGAAGTAGAGCTTAAACAGGTACCCTCTCATCCAGACTTTTAATTTTTTTTGGAAATACTAATTAGATACATTGTGCTCTAAATAATTGCCCCCTTAGATAAGGGAGTTCGGATGTCGAGTGTTAGGTTTGGAAGATTATTTGTCTGGGGACTCGAGTTATCGTATGGAATTAGGTGTAGAGTGGTATGGGTTTATTCATTTGTGTTGTTATTTACTCACCCTTTTAAATTTTTTATTACATGTGACTCTCGTTGTTCATCTTTTATATTTGATTTTTATAACTTGTTTTAATATTTTATTGGTAGCCGATCCCACCTAGTGGGATAAGCCTTTGTTGTTGTTGTTTTAATATTTCATTGAGCCAAGTGTTTTTTGTGCAGATATTGGCGAAAGACGCGAGTTTCACGCGTAACAAGATAATGTATTTGCACCAATGCTTGGTATATTAGATATTGTTATGTAGATCTTATGCATGCTTTTTCTCATGTATATTCTTTAACACTATGTTTGGTTCAAGGAATTTAGAAGAAAAAGAAAAGAAAATGGTTTTCTCTCATTTTCCTCGCCGAAATGGGAGGAATTTGATTTTCTCTCCTCTTAATATATTTTGTCTTCTCATTTCTTTTTTCTTCCACTTTTCTTTTCTTTTCCACTCTATCCAAACAAGAAATGTTATCTTTGATCTCATTTTCTTTTCTTTTCCATTTCAAAATTCTTGAACCATAGTGTAATTGATCTTGTCTCATCACTTTGTGCACATAAGTTAAAATATGGAGAAGTCTTGTTGCTCAAATATCCCAATATAAATATATGCCTTAGTTTGATGAAATTATAACCCTTTGTTTTCGGGATCGCCACCGTGAAGGAAATAACACTCCCTCCGCTTCAAAATAAAATTCGTGTTGACTATTCACATGTTTAAACAAAGCATCTTTTTTTTAAAAAACACATTATCATCGATCGTTTAACTACTCCCATGAGATTCATTTGGGTTGTATTATTCATCGTTTGAGATAATAAATTAAGCTACTCCGTATTATTCTATCTCATTGATTTTTTAATGTAGTTTATACACAACCTTTTTAATTCCACATCAATTCATGAACATATTGAATTGATATTAGTTTCATTCTGTGGCAATCTTCACTCCTTCAAAATAAGATTTGTGTTGACTATTCACATGTTTAAACAAAGCATCTTTTTTTAAAAACACATGATCATCGATCATTTAACTACTCTCATGGGAGTCATCTGGGTTATATCATTCATTGTTTGAGAAAATAAATTAAGCTATTATTTTATCTTATTGATTTTTAGTGTAGTTTTTAAACACCTCTTTAATTCCACACCAATTTATGAACATATTGGATTGACATTACTTTCATTAAGATGTCTTTCTTGCTATCTTGCTATAGTGATATCAAAACCCTTAGATCCTCAAGGTGAGGTCTTCCCTGGATAGTATTATTTGCATTGTCGATGTCTTTGTACTATGATCTCATTCTTTGGTCATTTGGCTTATGAATTGGTCATTCATCAAGAATTACTCTTCACTATTAAAAAATAAATGTTTTTTTATCTGAAATTATATAATTTAATTAAAAAAAATTAAAAAATTAATTTTCTCTTTGTACAATTAAAATCTTTACAATAAAATGCAAATATTTATTAAAAAAAAGCACACATGGACTAATTAAAATATGTCAAAAATGTAAACATTTCCAAAAAAATATTACTATTGTTTTTATTAAAAAGGTAAAATTGACAAGAATACTCACAGAAATTACAGATTTTACATAAATACTCCCAAATTTGTTTATTCACATCATTACTCCCACATTTTTCTTTTATTTACGTTGTTACTCCCAAATTTGGTAGTGATCATTAGTGTTACTTGGATGTGTCATTTTTGCGTTAAGTGAACAGTTAAAATGCAGACATGTATTTTTTCCACTCTAATATACTAAATTTACTTCAACTTATTCTCTCCACCGTCTTTCTCACGTCTTAGTAAGCCTAATTATTGCCCTTACTTTCCATCACTTTTAAAAAAATTGAGATTTCAAACTTCTTAAATCTTTTTAATGATTAATATCAAGTCTGTTCATATTAATTTAATTTGAATTCAATAAAAAAAAGATGAAAAACCCCGTATAAAAAGAGGCACCCGAGAAACACTGATGATGAAGCAATCACGGAGTAATGACGTAAATAAAAGAGAAATGTGGGAGTAATGGTGTAAATAAACAAATTTGGGAGTATTTATGTAAAATCTCTAATTTCTGGGAGTGTTCTTGTGAATTTTGCCTATTAAAAAAGATAAGTAAAATAGCTTTTAATAATTAAAATACTTTAAAAAATGTAAAAATGATAAAAAGAGTGATTTGCCACTGCAAGACATGCCACTCTACTCATTTTCCACACACTAACTATATTAATTTTGATTGACTAAAATATTCCACGTCATCGTGTGACATTGTATTTCTTATTTGTCATATATCATGCTCTTATAGCCTTGTACACTCACTAACAAGGAACCATTCGATCACTAACATATAGTGGTCTGTCCTAGAATATTTGTTTTGTTTTTATTTTTTATAATCAAATGGGATTAACTTTTGCCCTCTGATTAAATTAAAATTATATGATACATTAACTAGATAAAATTATATTTAAAAAACACTTGTAAATTAATAAAATTTATGTTTTATCAATATGTAATGCTAATTTTATTTAATTTATAGTTAGAGTTCATCAATTTTAACTACAAAAAGTTAAAACTGAACACACACTATAGAAAAAAAGGAAAAGTCTCATTTTATGGGGCTCTATAGGCCATATGCCTGCTGGATTAATTAGCTACGTCACTAACGTGGTACATAGTTAAATGTTCAATGGAAACAAGCAAACTAACAAAAAATATTTAAGACCATAATAGTAAAGAAGTAAATCATTTCGAGACGAATAAAGTAATATACTCTGTATATGATAGCCTGGTTACACAATTGTCAGTCAGAATACAAACTCTTGTTATCCCTGGTGTAATCCAATATCAAGGGAAAAATACTAAAATTGGAATAAAATATTAAAAATATACCAAAATAGGAGTTCCATATTTTTATTCTCGAAATAGGTGTTAAAACATATTTACAGTGTCAATCATGACTATGTACATTACCAAAAAGTACTATCAAATGTTCATGTAGATCGAGTGTCACATTATCACAGTGCAAACTATTATCTTGAATATAAAAACATGAAATTAATATTTTGATTTTTTTTCTAAGTTTTACTCAAATTTTAGTAAATTTCTACAATATCAACTAGTTGAACTACGTCCTAATAGAATCGAACACGGGTCCACTCCGAACCGATATCCGAATCGGTATCGGCAGTTCCGACACCCGATCCGGCAACGACGACGGGGAGGCGGGGTAAAGGAACCGGCACTGAAAACAGTGTACATGGTATCGGTTCAGGGGATGCATGAGAGGGGCGGTGCCGGAATCGCTAGTTCTTATTCTAGCAATTCTTTTTTGTTTTTGATTTAAAAGAAGGCCCCGCCATTGAAACAACTTAATGGGGAGGAGCGGGGGTAAATTTCACCAATGGTACCTGAACTTTGGCTAGAATTTCGAAGTGGTACCTAAACTTCAAATCCTTTCACAAAAATCCCTGAACTTACACAATCCTTTCTCTAAAAGTCCATTTGCCCGTTTCTAGGTTAACTTTCGGTCATTTGGGCCAAATTAGAATTTTATATATTTTAAAATTTTCAATTTGACCTCATTTCTTTTTTTTCTTTTCTTCCGCTCCCCGCCGCCATCGCACCACGTCAAAGTCGCCGGAAAATCAACCTGGTCAGATTCTGGCGGGACCAACGCCGTTCTCTTCGTCTTGAGATGAGGATCAAGAATATCCAAATCATTTTGTCCAATTTGGCCTGCAACTCCTTGAATTTAAATTTTTCCACTCGAAAAAACCCTGAAATCTGAAATTGGGGGGTTTTGCAAATCGCCATCAAATCTTGTAATTGAGGGGTCCTTGGGGGTCGCCGGGATGCCACGAACACGTTGGAGGGGATGAGCGACGTCAATTTTTCCGGAGGTGGCCAAAAAATGCTCCAACCCGCCGTAAAATGCCGCCTCCTTCCGGCGAATAACATGGTACGACATAGATACGCAAAATTACATGGATGCAACCACGGTGGGAAGTGGTAGTTCTGACGAATAACTTATTAGTAGTTTTTCTTGTAATTAATTCTTTTAGGTAAGCGATTTTTAAGTTTCTTCAAGGACCGGTTCTTTAATTTACCTCGTCGCTTTTTTTGAATCGTCAGAATAATAAATGTAGTTGTGCTATTCAACTTTTCATCATTTAAATAACAACTGTATTTTTAGAATTTAAATAAACTTGTTTTACATACTCCGTATAATATACACTATATTCTTTATATATTTATATTGATGATGTAAATTACTTGACCGGGTAAACTGTACTAGACCGGGTCTAGATTAGTTCACTTGATTTGATAAAGTAAAAAGGTAAAAACACTCAAATGACCGGTAGGACTGTAGGTGGAAACAACTGTAGCCCAATTGATATTAATATAAGAGAATGCACGGGTGCTTTTACAGGGAGTTTAGAGAGAATGAATTCGGATCCCCTTCTTCGAGGGTTACATCAGGTATATATACTGAGTTACGGGGGACAGAACGGTCGTGCACCCACGTGGAGGCACGTTACGTTCCAGCTTTGTCCTCTAGCTGCCTTGTCATCTTGTGAAGGAGGTTGTGCCCTTGTCGCGTATTGGCTTGTACAGATTCCTTCAGCATCTCCCTTGATCTTCCAGTGATCCTCCACTAATAGGGTCGCTACAGTCCAAGCCTTTTTAGATTCTCTTCTACCGACGCTTTCTAACCTTGGAAACTACACCGGGTAATTTCCTAGGGACGAGTAGTTTATCACATCTAAGGAATAAATGAGGCGATGAAGTAGTTTGACCGGTATACTTTTCTGAAGTATACCAGTCATCTTTTGACCAATTGAGCATCCTCCGGCTGACGATTAAAGTTTCCCTTTCCTGTTCTTTCGGATTGACCGGTCAATTCTTTGGGCTTTTCTTTTGACCGATCATGGGTGGAATACACCCATCATATATTATCTAAAAAAATTAAGGAGCAACGGAAAACTGGTTGGAACCGGAACTGAAACTGAAATGGAATCGTCCCGTGTCTAAGCCTACCTCCAACCACCAAATTAAAAAAGCACAAAAAAGAAAAAAGAGAAGATGGAATAGTGTAAATCAATCGTCACCGGCGCCCTCCCCTCTCGTCTACCGGTCTACTCACACCCACCATATACATCTAACCTTTTTTAAGCCACCAAAGATTTCCTCTTTCTTTTTATGTTCATTATAAACTCCATAACTCTTTCACATTAACTGTCTCAGAAAGTTTCTTGTCTTCCCATCCCCTTTTATACATATATATATATATATTTATAGATCCAACAAAACATATATATATATATATATATATATATATATATATATATATATATATATATATATATATATATTTACACTTCTATTCTATTCATTTTCTCACACTAATTAACTTCAATTAATTCCCATCTCTTAGCTTTGTTTTGTCGGGTACCAAACTTGTCCCAATAATCCCTTTTGTTTTCTTTAATTATAATATATATTAACAACTCCAAATTTATAAAAAAAAAATATTTTTTGTTTTCAAAGATGGAAGAACAAGGCATGGAGTTGATGATCATGGGTTCGGGCGGTTTGGAGGCGGCGGTGGGGGAAGAGGAGGAGCAGCGGCGGCAGGTGAAAGCGGAGATCGCGACACACCCGCTGTGGGAGCAGCTGGTGGGGGCCCACGTGGCGTGCCTCCGGGCGGCGACGCCCGTTGACCAGCTGCCCCTTATTGAGGCTCAGCTCTCTCACTCTCACAATCATCTCTTGGCCTCTTATTATGCTTTGCACCATAATAATAATCACTCTCACACCTCTCTTCCCCCTCATGAAAGGCAAGAGCTTGACAACTTCTTGGTATGTATGCATATGTATATATTTTCATTACTTCTTCTCATTCAAATGTTTTTTTTTTGTGGTTAAAATTGTGACAACCACATATATTATTTGGGTTACACCACATTTAATTTGAGGGTATATTTGACATTATTCTTCTTGTATACATTCGCTGACATAGAACAATGTTAAACATTTCTGATGACCGCCGTAAGAAAGACGGTGTCAAAAATGGTGTACAAATAGAATTTTGTAAATTATAATACCTTCGTTACCAAAAAATTTATAACCCTTGGCATGATTTGATACATCTCTATCATTAATTTAATTAACCTTGATTTAAGTTAAATTCTTCTAAATGAAAGTTTCTTTTCCTTTTATATATATATATATATATATATATATATATATATATATATATATATGTTCTTTAAAACTAATAATTAAAGCCTCTAAAAATAACCTATTTTCAAATTTTATCCTCGTTTTATAGTGTAACCTTCCAACCTCACCCTGGCTGTTAGGGGCCATCCATCCTAAAATCTCTTACGCTTAACTTTAAAATTTTTAATTAGTATATACCATCATTTTTGACCTCTTTCTTTTTCCATCTTGGCACGGGATATTACATATATAGTACTCCGTATTTGATAATAAAATAAGATAAGATGAGAGTTTACATGGGATTACATACAAAGATTTCCTAATCATAGTAGGAAACAATAATTAATGTAGCCTATACAATTATGGTAGCTACCAATATATATAATATTAAATATGTTAACAATATATTTAACACTTGATAATAAAATATGATAAGATGATATGTATGAGTCATAATTGGGAAGTCATGCAGGCACAATACATGTTATTGCTATGCTCATTCAAGGAACATATAGAGCAACATGTGAGAGTGCACGCCGTTGAAGCCGTTATGGCCTGCCGTCAAATTGAACTTAACTTACACGCTCTTACCGGTACGTACGTTTCTTTTCCGCCCGCCCTTTAATTAATTACTTTTAGCATTTCAAATAATTAATTATCTATTTGTATTGTATCACTTAGTTTTAATTTTTTTTTTAAAAAATTAATATGCACCGTTGAGAAGCTATTTGTACTCTAAAACTATGTCACGCCCACATAATTACATTGTTAATTGGTTCCCAACATTATTTCTATAAAAAAAATTACCAGCTTGATTTTCACGTAATTTACGAAAGTTATAAAAAAAAGTGTAAAAAGTGTGTGATTAGGGTAAGAAAAAATAGAGGTAAAAGTGGTTTTTAATAGAAAGTGGGAGTGTTTTAGGGAAAACAAAAATGAAAGAGGAAGTATTATACTCCCTCCGTTCCACAAAACCCTTCCGGTTTTGACTTTGGGGAAAAATAAGGAAAGTGTAATTTTGGTTGACTTTCCAATTTTGCCCCTGATGTGATGGGAAAAAGTAAGATCTGATAGTTTGGTTATTAGTGATAAAGTATGATGTGATAGGTAGGGTATGAAAAAATATGGGTAAAAGTGGTTTTTTAATAGAAAGTGGAAGTGTTTTGTGGAAAGCAAAAAAAATGAAAGAGGAAGGGTTTTGTGGAACGGAGGGAGTAAGAAACAGAGGCAGTACATGAAATTGTTTTTTGAGACATCCAAAAAGTGAGTAAAGTCTGTTGTGATTAAAAAACACCAAGTATATTATATAGCGATGTACAAGCAAATCTTAATAATAATCTTAGAGGATTATATTATTAGTACACACACACACACATACATATACTCACTAATATATATTACTCCCTTCATCCAAAAGTTATCTTTTCGTTGCGCGTTACGATGTTTGACTGAAATTATTTTCAAATTCTCTTATACGAAAAAATGTTGTAGACTTTTAAAATAAAAATTACGGAGTATATATTTAAAAATTACATCAAAGTAGGATAGGGCGGTCAATTCGTAAAACAAGTGAAGTGGCCATTTCGCACTAATGAATCAAATAGCACGATCTGAGTTGAAACACGTCAACCATGGGTCCTCTAAGCTACCCGCCATCAGCCAACCCCCCTCCCATGCGAGAGGAATGAATTTCACTATTCGTTGTTCGTTGAACTATGTTCAACTCATTTGAAAAAGGTACGAAGTCACTAGAGAATTCGTTGAACTATGTTCAACTCATTCGACCTACGGGAGAGGTCTATAAAACTAGATGTGACATCACTATATTATTTTATCAAATAAGCAACGAAAATAGGCTAAAAAAGTATATAAAATTTGACTATTTAAATAGTAAACGAGAACATAATATTTGGACGGAAGGAATATTTGTTGGTACGAGTATATTTTTGTATTTGACTAATGTGAAATAGGTTATGGAGCAATTCTTTCACGCTTCCACTTTGTTGACTTCTTTAAGTATGTGCTCATTTACTTATCAACAAAATAAAAAATAAAATATTTTGAAAATATTATTTAATGACATTATTTAGCTTTAACGTTTTCAAAGTTATGTATTAGGCAAACGATAATTGTCAAACAGAACATAAACAATACCATCCCTCCTCACCCCATTTATAAAATTAAATATTTAAATGGGTATTTTTTATTTTTTGAGAGTATTAATTATATTATATAGTACGAGATTCTTACTTATTTTATAATTTTAATAAAAGTCTTTTGTAGTACTAAAAAATGTTTTGTGTAAATATAAATCAAATAGCCAGGCTACTCCAAAACAATAATAATAATAATGATGATAATAATAACAACAACAAGAACAACAACAACAAATAGGTAGGGATATATGAAGATTTGAAATTGAAGTCCTCTACCTTAATTAGTACTCCGTAGATGCTAATCTAATACTGATGTCTTATTCTATCGGTTGAGTTAGTGATTAATTGAACTTTGAATTCGGTCATTTATGACGTGACTTTTATATTACTCCTATTATTATTACATTATTTTTATTTTCATACTCTAATGTTAATTATTAAAAATTTATATATCAAAACATCCCAAAATGTTTTATTACTCCTTCCGTCTCTACAAATTTACCATAGTTAGACTTTTTAATCAAACTATGATACCACTTGACCATGAACTAAATATAGTTTAAAATAATTAAATTTAATAAAAATTTGATATTTAAAAATTATATTTTAGAATAAACCTAATTTTACTAAATTACATTATAACTAAATATAATTTTTTATAATTCGCGGTCAAAGAATGTCACAGTTTGACCAAAAAATCAAAGTACAACAATCTCTTAGGGACGGAAGGAGTATATCTGTATATTTTAATAAAATCTACATGGAACATAATTTTTTTTGCAAGCTACATGAAATATTATAGGGAGTACTAAATTTATTTCAACTAACCCTACTAAAAAATACAGTACTCTCTTCATCCCCTGAGACCCTTTTATCACACGAAAACAATGTTTTAATTATTTTTTTTCCAAGAAAAATTCAAACAAGCGTAGTTTCTAATGCTCCCCTTCCTTTTATAATAATTATTATTATTTCCTGCGTCCCAGAATAATCATATATATTTTTTACTTCGATTCATATAGAATAAGGGTCTGTTTGAAAATAGCGTTAGAGATTAGCGTTGGCGTTTTGAAAAAAGATATTTACAGGCAGTGTTTAGCATTAAAATTTTATCAAAACGTTAACGCTAATCTCTAACGTTATTTCCAAACAAGCCCTAAGTTATTTTTATAGTAATACGAACATATATAATTTGAATTTTATTTAATTGGTGCCAAAGTTAGTCCAATAATAGTATATTACTCTTTTCAATAATTAATGCTTAAAATTCTCTATATAGCCTTTATAGAAACAAATTACTCCCTCCGTCCTATAATGATCTTCCCAGAGCACTATTCCAACTTCACGGGAATTTATATTTATTTGTGTTTTTTCATGGCTTATATGATAAAATAAAATATTCTTGTCACCACTTGTTTTGTTGAATTTTTGATGTAGTTTTTAAATATGTATGTTTTATTTTTTATTTCTATACCAATATTTAAATAAAATAGATTGAAAAAACTTGAGATTTTTCTTCGTTTTGCGAACCGGGAAGATCATTATAGGACGGAGGGAGTACATAAAACAACAAACACCTCTAGAGTCACAGTTATAAATTAAAGCTCTCTAGAAAGTTATACTTTTCTTATTATTCTTGTATTTTATATAATTTTATATAATTTTTATTTAATTATCAGAAGAGAAAGAGTATTGTATTGTATTGTATTGTATTGTGGGGTAATTGGTTGGAGGGGCAAGAGAGATGGAAATTAAGCTAAGAAAAGGAAATTGGGGATGTGGGGCCATGGGGTGTGCCACCCTACAGAAAATAAATGGTTGGTGTAGAGTGGGCCCACTTGGGGAAATTTGTTGTTTTATTTATTTATAGTTAGGAGTAGAGTTTATTATTAATTTATTATTATTATTATTATTATTATTACTAGTTGGTTGGATGATGGAAGATTGGAAAGAACAACATTAACAATGACAACAAACCAACAACGCAATTTAACCACTGAAAAGGGTACCTACAAATTGAATATAGATATATTGTTGTTGCATTTTGAAGTTTTTTTTGTCAACCTAGGACATGTTTGGAAACAACGTTAGAAATTAGTGTTAGCATTTTCAAAAGGTTATCTACGGGCAGTGTTTTAAAAAAAATCCACACCGTTAAAATTTTATCCAAAACATTAACGTTAATCTCTAAATGCTATTCTCAAACAGGTCCCTGAAGAAGTTTAATTCATGCATAACTTGCTAATGCCAATTTGGTTTGGCCTCGTCAAAATTAATTCCATCCTTTTTTTAAAAAAAAATTGATCGTAAACTTTAAGTCAAAAATTTTGTTCATCGATTCGATGAGTAAACCTGATTGAACTCGAATCTGACCTCCGTTGAAGCAATGGTTTTTTTTTCAAATTCACGTATTTTAGTATAAAATATAATGTGATAAATCAAATTTTAATAAGATTCTTTTACTTTTTTTTAGTGTCTAAACATCTTTTTTCTAATTTGATCGAATGTTCTAAAAGAAAGATGACATGACTTGTAAAACAACTTTTTGAAATAAACCGGTTTCTTGATTTGATTTCTTCCCAAACCAGTGTATATATACAAAGATTTACATGTCAACTAGCTATGGTCCAAATATAATAACTCAGGCCCATTTACATTATTTAACCCAATAATGCGGTTCCATAATAACTGATTTGTCATGTGAAATTCAACACATTTTTTTGTAGTGTACTATTTATATTATTAATTTTATTTGTGACTTTTGAATATATATTACTTTTATTTATCATTATATGAATCAAATGGATCTAGTATACTAAAAACATTACTACAAAAACAAGTAAATAGACCGTCTCAATTGCATCGGTCATTGAAAAACCGATGCAAAAAGTCTAAAGCATCAGTTATTACAAAGAACCGATGCCTTTTCTATTTTAAAAAAAATGAAAAAATGGGTATTGCTATATCTTCAAGATTTGTGGGTCCACTACTTTGAAGAAGCCTTTGATTTATTATCTCCGTCCTGGAGTAATTGTTCATTTTTTACTTTTTTCGGTCAAAATCGATAAACTTTGACCCTAAATTAAATAAAAATGACATTAGATATTGATAGAAAAATAGTTCTATTAGATTTATTATATAAAGTATTTTCAAAATATTATTTTATCTAATTAATATACAACATATATTTTATTTAATTATAAATTAAATATTGAAAATGATTGACTGAAAAAGTCAAAACTGGACAAATATTTTGAGACGCGGTAGTAACTTTTTTTTCCCTTCAAAATGATCTATGTTTAGGAGCAATACTAGGTGAAGGAAGTGGGGCAACAATGTCAGATGAAGAAGAAGAAGACTTGGAGATGGGCTTGTGTTTTGATCACATAGGAGTAGGAGCCGATAATGGGCCCGACTTGATGGGCTTCGGCCCACTGCTCCCTACCGAATCTGAAAGGTCACTAATGGAGAGAGTTCGTCATGAATTGAAGATTGAGCTCAAACAGGTACCAACCAATTCAAAACCAAATACAATTTCGGAAAAAAATTCACACGAATACTCTTAAATTTACTACTTTTTACGAAAAATATTCCCAGATTTGATAATTAACAAATAACAAGTTTGCTTCCAACTTTATTATATTCTCACATCGTCACTTCTTACTAGGGTTGTTCATCGGTCTAAGACCGGACCGACCCGGACCGGACCGAAGACCGAAATGAGTAAATTCAAGGACCGAAGATCGGACCTAAATCTACTCGGGTTTGGACCGAACCGAACCAAAATATTTAGGACCGAACCGGTCCGGACCGATTGGACCGAAAAAATACATATTTTTTTAATTATTATAAATTAATAGTTTGGATTTGATTCTCTGCGGAGTGTAATAAAATAAAATTATATAATTGTAAATGATGTAAATGAAGTAATTGCCTATGCAAACATATAGTTAAATAAAATTTAGTTTTTTAAATAATTAAAAGACCCAAGACTCTCATTTTTAATAAATTTAAAATGAAAAAACAAGTACTCAAAATAAAACTCGATTTTTTCCACGTAGTAGCTGACCGGGCAAGTGAGGAGTAACGACGTAAAAATATAAGAAAGTTGGGAGCAAAGGTGTTAATGATCAAATCTAAGAGTATTTTCGTAAAAAGTCTTATTTTTGAAAGTACTCTTGTGAATTTTTCTTAAAACTTTTACACTTCACTAATAAAAATTATTTTCGTCATACAGACAAAATTTGTCTGTCATAAAAAAACATCTGGTGTAAGATTACAATTTCTCACAGAGTAAACTGGAAATCTTTTTTTTTTTGGAGTGATGTAAAATGTTTGTGCAAATAGGGATTCAAATCAAGAATTGAAGATGTGAGGGAAGAGATATTAAGAAAGAGAAGAGCTGGGAAATTGCCTGGTGACACTACCACTGTACTCAAGAACTGGTGGCAGCAACACTCTAAGTGGCCATATCCAACTGTGAGTCACACAATTACATTCCCATCTCAAACAACAAAAACTAGACTAAATATTGAGTATATATAAATGAAAATTTTCATTTTCATACAAAGGAAAAAAGATTTTGAAAATTATACTCGTAAAGTTTATATCAAAATAATAAACCCCTTATATTTGAATTTCAAAAAAATAAGGGTGTTGGCATTGTGCAATGCCACATATTGGCATTGTGTAATATATTTCACAGAGTTTTTCTACATTATATATTGCCAGTCTTCGACATTAATTGTGACTTCTATTTTGATATTTGAAAGTTTTTTTAATGATATTTTAAGTATGTTTAGTCCTAGCTAAGTAGTTTTAAAAACAATCCATTTTGAAGTAATGAACAACATCAAACATACCTAGTTTGGGTTTTAAAAGAAAACATACCCGATCTAGTGTAAATTGGTGTCGGTTTAGTAAGTTTTAGAAGGATTTTTCATATGATATGAGTTTTGAAATCTAAAATAAAAGTGTTTTGAGAGATTTGAAATGATGGTTGTTAGTGGCGTGGCAGACGAAAACGGTTGGCGATTGAAGGAGATATTAAAGCCTTGTATTAATATCTTCTAAATTCAGGAGATATCAAAACTCCCTCATTTGGGGATGGTTTTGATTAATGAAACTATAAAATTCAAACTCTATTTAGGAACCATATTTGACAGCGTCTGCCACTCGAAGACAATCTAAATAAAGCTTTACGATCCAAAACTCTCTACTTTTAAGTCTGGACAAAGCTCGCTCACATTGATGAGTCTCCAATCATATGTTTAAACATTTAATTGGGTTGGTTTTTGACACATCATATGTTTTTTTTTTCATCTTCAAAAAAATTACTAAAATTTGCAGGAAGATGACAAGGCAAAACTAGTGGAGGAAACAGGCTTGCAACTCAAGCAAATCAATAACTGGTTTATCAACCAAAGGAAGCGCAATTGGCACAACAGCTCACATTCACTTACATCTCTCAAGTCAAAGCGCAAGAGATAAAGGCCCACATTTTCATTTATACATCCAAAACTCATGAAATGCCATGTGTATTGATATGATATAGATATGGTTTGTGGATTTCTTGAAAGTCTTATGTACTTCATTTGTTCTAAATTAATTGTAACATAAATGAAAACATTAGAGTTGTTTAGAAGTAAAAGCTTGTAACAAAGTTAAAGACATGTATTGAACACTAAAAGGTGAGCAATTGAAAATTTTAAACTAAAGAGAAAAGTCATATGTAGATTGTAGAAATGTACACAAACCAAATTCATTTCATTAATTAATTCCAAACACGATGCATATACAAGTTATATGTCAAGCCTAAAATTTAGCCCATTTACAATAAATAATGACAAGCCCATTAATATTAAACTAGAAAATAGAAATCCCATCAGGGGTGAACCGACTTAGGCTACATTCCATTCGTCTATTTTGATCTGATCTGATCTGATTGAATATGATTTGATCTGGTCTGATCTGATATAGTCTTATTAGATCTGATTGGATCTGATATAAATTTGATTAAAATTAAAATTATAATTTTTATTAGAATAGTTATAATAATAATAGAAATATCAATAATAATAGTAATAATACATATAAAAATAATAGTAATAATAATAGTAATAATAATAATAACTAAAATAATAGTACTAATAATAACATTAATAATAATAGAAATAGTAATAATATAAATATTCATAATAAAAGCCATAATAATAGTAATAATAATAATAAAAGTAATAATAATAGTAATCATAATAATAGAAGTAGTAATAGTAATAATAATAATAATATACAAATAATAATAATAATTGTAATAATAGTAATAATAATAAAAATAGTAATAGTAATAATAACAATACTAATAATAAATGTAATAATAATAATAATGATAATAATAGTAATAATAATAGTAACAATAATAATATTATTAATATTAATAGTAATAATAATAGCAATAATAATAGTAATAACAAAGTAATAATAATTATAATCATAATAGTAATAGTAATAGTAATAATAATACTAATAACAATGGTAATAATAATAATAAAAATAGTTATATTAATTTTTTTTAGATCTGATATGATCTGGTCTGGTTTGATCTAACCCATTCCATCTTATCATAGGCTTTCGCCATGCCCAACTTCGGACCCATCCATCCAACCTTACCCGTATTTTTCCCTCAAATACTGACCCAACTCAGCAACAAGAAGAATGTTATCCGAAATTAGTTAGCCCGGTACAAAAGCTGAATGACTATTTGAAATCACGCCCTCGAGTATCCGCTTCATAAGGTTAGCCCGCACCTTCGCAAAGATCTTATAAACAATATTACACACGACAATCAGACAAAGATCCGCAATCACCTTCGCAAGATTTTGTATCAGGATACGAACAATAGTGGCATCATTCAAGCCCCCAGGCACTTACATACATTAAGGCAATCCAGTACAAAAGTGTTCACTTCAGCATCTACAACATCCCAAAACTTTTGATTAAAAGTCGAGTTCATACCATCTAGACCTGGGAACTTATCTGGATGCATAAAAAAGTGATGAGTCTTTACCTTTTTAGCCATGAGAGAGTGAAGCAAACTAGCCTTACCACTACTAGACACTTTCGACCTCACTATGGAACAAAGGGGGTCACTATTGCCTTCTGTTGAAAAGATCTTCTTGAAATAGTCATGCCCCAAACCCTCAACACATCTCTTTGCCCGTCGTCACCTAGAAAATTTTCAACGTGATCATTCCATGTCATGAACAAATGTTCCACAACACAAACCCAAAATGATCTAAACATTCATCAACTGATGAAGTAGTTTTTCGGGTAACAAACCTTCCCAATGAAGGGTTATTTTTCTCTCCGAGTATCGTGTCTCTTGAGAAGTGGACGAAGGGGATTAGCTAATTTCTCGAACTAGGCGAAGGTTAGGACATGTTTATGAAAATTTTCTTGAATTGAAATAAAAGAAGCAAACCATAAAGAATAAATAATTTTACACAGTATAAGCAAGATCTAGACCTAGGGTCAGGACAGCATCTGGGTTGACTATATATATCTTTTAATTAACAATTGGAACAATCGTATTTTTACTATTACTCACATATTTCTAGGATTCATAATTACTCTGTTGGTCTTGAATACTACAGCCTTACGACGTATAATATTTCTCAATATATAATAGCTAATTAAATCTTTCGATATTAATTAACTAAACAAGGCAAGAACAACTTTAGGATAATCATTCCAACATTAAACAGTCAAAGTATATGCACAAACTAGATTGGATCTAGGGTCTGGACCTAACTAATACTATGCAAAATAATTAAAACAATATTATATTAAAATGAGAAACTTACAGTCTTCGAACAAGGGGAAATTGAACTGATCTGAAGCAGCAACTCCAAAATTAAACTACTTTTCTAGAATTAAATATGATGAAAGGGAGAAGAAAACTGAGCTAAAATGGTGAATTCTGAGCTAGAGATGATGGAAAATGGGGAGGGGCGAGTTACTTTTATAGGAAATGGATCTGGGCGTCCAGATTTGGATGCCCTAACCTTCGGTCCATTTCGCGAATGCCACATGTCAAAATCGCATCATCGTTGCGTGCAAGGCACCTGGAGCGTCCAACTTGGGGCGTCCAAGTTAGGGCGTCCAAGTTGGATGCACCAACTCCGGGTTTGGACTCCTAGGCGGGTTTCAGCTCATGTTTTGCCCCAGTTTCTTCCTTTTGGTCCCCGAACGCCTATTTTGACTTCCTAGGGGCTTGTTTAAGCACAAATCTTGGTCCTCTGATGATTGATTTCCTTTTCTCAAGTATTTGAACAGAAAATAGATAATTTGAAATGATTTCATGTGGAATCTCCTTTTATGACTATTAGAACGAAAACAAGAATTTTATTCATGGAAAATATATTTTATGAAATGATTAAGTACTATTTATGTGAAATAATGTTTAGAATATGAAGCAAAAGATAATAACAAAACAGACTTATCATCAACCTACAGTCCAAATGAGTATTGACTTGTGGGTCATTTGATTTTTTAAAAAAGGATGAGCTCCATCATCACTGAGTCCCCCCACACATCCTGTCAGACGATCAATGAGAGAAGGAAATTAAACTTTAATTGCAAATTTATGATAGAGAGTGGAGTCTGCACCTAATACTTATGGAGGTTATATGTTTAGCATAATTGCTTCCCGACATAGTTACTAGAAATCAAAATCAAATTTACATATTGCCACTCTCTTACATTTGTCCCGACCCGGAGTCATTCCATTGTTAAAAAATGAGTGTTGATCGTAAACTAACCTATGGAAAAAGATAGACTCACACCACCTTGTCCGCATGGACAGAGCTGTAAATCTGTAATTGTATATATCCACTGTTCTATACGTTTTTTATATACGAATTCCACTGTTGATTCTTCTGAGCTACACATTTCTTCTCTATTTCTCTCCATCCTTGTTCAATCTCAATGGCGTCCACAGGAAATAGATCAGAAACCAAGCCTTACAAGTTCTTGATCTATGGACGCACTGGCTGGATTGGCGGTCTGCTCGGCAAGCTCTGCGAGGCTGGATTACGCAGGACAATCAGACAGAGATATGCAATCACCTTCGCAAGCTTTTGTATCAGGATAAGAATAATAGTGGCATCATTCAAACCCTCTGGGAACTTACTTACTTACATGTATTAAGGAAATCTAGTACAAAAGTGTTCACATCAACATCCACAACATCCCAAAACTTTTGGTAAAAAGTCGAGTTCATACCGTCTGGAACTTATCTAGATACATAAAAAAGTGAGCAGTTCTACCTCTTTAGCCATGAAAGAGTGAAGCAAACTAGCCGTACCACTACTAGACACTTTCGACCTCACTATGGATAAAAGGGTGTCACTATTGCCTTATATTGAAAAGATCTTCTTGAAATTGAAATAGTCACGCAATCATGCCCCAAACCCTCTACACATCCCTCTGCTCGTTGGCACCCAGAAATTTTTTAACGTGATCATTCCATGTCATGAACAAATGTTCATCAACTCAAACCCGAAATGATCTAAACATTCATCAACTGATGAAGTAGTTTTTCAAGTAACAAACCTTCCCAATGAAGGGTTAGTTTTATCTTCGACTATTGTGTCTCTTGAGGAGTAGACGAAGGGAATTAGCTAATTTCTGTAACTATGCGAAGGTTAGGACATGTTTATGAAAGTCTTCTCGAATCAAAATAAAAGAAGCAAACCATAAAGAATAAATAATTTTACATAATATAAGCAAGATCTAGACCTAGGGCCAGGACATCATCTGGGTTGACTATATCTCTTTTAATTAAATATTGGAACAATCGTATTTCTACTATTACTCACCTACTTCTAGGATTCGTAATTATCTTGTTGGTATTGAAGACTACAGCCTTACAGCGTATAATATTTCTCATTGTATAGCTAATTAAATCTTTCGATATTAATTAACTAAATAAGGAAAGAGCAACTTCAGAAGAACCATTCCAACATTAACTAAACATTCAAAGTATATGCCCAAACTAGTACGAACCCAGGATCCGGCCCTAACTCATACTATGCAAAATAATTAAAACAATATTATATTAAAATGAGAAACTTAATGCCTCCGAACAAGTGGAAATTGAACAGGTCTAAAGCAGCAACTCCAAAATGATAAAATAAACTAAAACTACTTTTCTAGAATTGAATATGATGAAAGGGAGAAGAAAACCAAGCTGGAATAGTGAATTCCGAGCTGGAGATGATGGAAAATGGGGAGGGGCGAGTTGCTTTTATAGGAAATGGATATGGGGTGTCCAACTTTGGATGCCCTAACCTTCGGTCCATTTCGGAATGTCACATGTCAAAATTGTGTCATCGTTGCGTTGCGTGCAAGCCACCTGGGGCGTCCAACTTGGGGTCTCCAAGTTAGGGCGTCCAAGTTGGATGCCCCAACTCTGGGTTTGGGCTCTTGCGCGGGTTTCAGCTCTTGTTTTGGCCCAGTTTCTTCCTTTTGGTCCCCAAACGCCTATTTTGACTTCCTAGGGGCTTGTTTAAGCACAAATCTTGGTCCTCTGATGATTGATTTCCTTTTCTCAAGTATTTGAACAGAAAATAGATAATTTGAAATGATTTCATGTGGAATCTCCTTTTATGACTATTAGAACGAAAACAAGAATTTTATTCATGGAAAATATATTTTATGAGATGATTAAGTACTATTTATGTGAAATAACATTTAGAAATGAAGTAAAAGATAAGAACAAAACGGACTTATCATCAACCTACAGTTAAAATGAGTATTGACTTGAGGGTCATTTGATTTTTAATAAAAGGCCAAAAAGGGTGAGCTCCATCTCCGAGACTTCTCTCACATCCGATCACGTGATTAATGAGAGGAGAAAATTAGACTTTAATTGCATATTAATTCCGTGCCCACCTTCACTCATCCGATTCTTAAAAAATGAGTGTTGACTGTGGAAGGAAACTAACCTACCGACTCACACCACCTTGTCCGCATGGAGAGAGCTGTAATTTTCTTGTATATATCCACTGTTCTATACGTTTTTTTATATACCGATTCCACTGTTAATTCTTCTGAGCTACCCATTTCTTCTCTCTTTCTCTCCATCCTTCAATCTCAATGTCGTCCACAGGAAATGGATCAGAAACCAAGCCTTGCAAGTTCTTGATCTATGGACGCACCGGCTGGATTGGCGGTCTGCTGGGCAAGCTCTGCGACGCCCAGGGGATCCACTACGTATACGGGTCCGGGAGGCTGGAGAATCGGGCATCGTTGGAGTCCGACATCGCCTCCGCAAACCCTACCCACGTGTTCAACGCCGCCGGCGTCACCGGCCGCCCCAACGTTGACTGGTGCGAGTCGCACAAGGTCGAGACCATTCGGACCAATGTCGCCGGCACGCTCACGCTCGCGGATGTGTGCAGGGACAAGGGCCTGATCCTCGTCAATTACGCCACCGGCTGCATTTTCGAGTACGATTCTGGCCACCCGCTCGGATCCGGCATCGGATTCAAGGAGGAGGACACACCGAATTTCGTCGGATCCTTCTATTCCAAGACCAAGGCAATGGTGCGTTTCTTCCCTCTTTCCTCATCTTTCTGTGCCTGTTCAAAGTCTCTTGTCCAGATCCATTTCCTTTGCTTAGCTGTTGAAATTCAAGATCTGCTGTTTCCAGTAGCTAGCCGATTTGATCTTCATTCTTCAATCCTGCTTGGAGTAGTAGTGTTCAATCTGGATTTGGCTAATGGGTATATATGATCTTGTAGTAATTTCTTATGATACACTACACATTAATCCATTGTTTCTTTAAATGATTGAATCGGGAATGTAAGCTAAAAATGTTAATCAATTGAATGAACAATTATATATGATCTTATGTTGTCTGTTATATCATCTCAAATTTGAATGACAGATCATCTTAGCTAATGTCAGAGTCAATATCATGGTTACTCTGATCTGCAGTTCATTTGAGGTGATATACATATGGATTGATTTGAGCTAAAACTGTCTTAGGGGACAATTGGTACACGGAATTGGAATTTAAATGCTATGGGATTGAATGGGATGGAATTGGATTCTCCAAATCCAATTCAATTTTTGCACTACCGATTCCAAATCTGCATATTTCTGTGCTACCAAACGGAGCCTTATTGTGTTTCCTTCTGTTAATCTTCCATGTTCATATATCAGCCTATGCCAGCTCTTTGACATCATCCCGGAGTCCAAGCCTGGAAATAATGATCAAAGCCTCATTTTTCTCAATTAGTTCTTGATTGTTTGCTGTTATAAATCTTGAATATTTATACTTTGCTGATTTGTCGTCCCACATTCATGGTGTTTACTTAGTGCGTTACTTCCTGTGCTCCAAGTTGTTCCTCGTTAACGATGATCAGCTTGCAAAGTTACTCGGCATAATAGATATATTAGGAAATAGATATATTAGAGTTTTCTTTTGTAATCTCTATATATAGGGATGTATCCTTCATTATTCAATAAGATCAATTGTTATCGAATTGTATCACTTCCTCCTGAAGATAGGAACAATTCCAAATTGCCAATGTTTTTTCACTTTCCAATTTCCGTTGCTCATTGTTAATGTTTAATCTTATTAGGTTGAGGATCTGCTCAAGAACTACGAGAACGTGTGCACGCTGCGCGTCAGAATGCCCATCTCGTCCGATTTATCCAACCCCCGCAACTTCATCACTAAGATCACTCGCTATGAGAAGGTAGTTAACATCCCGAATTCAATGACAATTCTTGACGAGCTCCTCCCCATATCGATCGAGATGGCCAAGAGAAATCTCACGGGCATATGGAACTTCACCAACCCGGGGGTGGTCAGCCATAATGAGATTCTGGAGATGTACAGGGAATACATTGATCCAAATTTCACCTGGAAGAACTTCACCCTCGACGAGCAGGCAAAGGTAATCGTGGCCCCACGAAGCAACAATGAGCTCGATTCGACCAAACTAAAGAACGAATTCCCCCAACTCTTGTCCATCAAGGAGTCCCTCATAGAGAATGTGTTCAAGCCCAACCGTAAGACCCCCGTTGCTTAAACCATTCGTTGCTTTGAATTTTTTATTGGAGTTTCTATACACTTGTTTTCATTTCGATATTCATGTGGACATCATAGGTTCTTTTTACCAGATGAAAAACTCCCATACGTTGTCTTTTATTTTTCGTTTTTCAGTTTCAATATTGCTATAATTGTTTTGAATATTTTTGGAATTTTGTTGTTCGATTAAAAGATTTGTATCATTGTTCAAACTTCGAGTTGCTTTTTATGATTTGCAGTTTTCTTCTTTGCTTATTGGTATGCATCACAAGAATCAGAATAGTGTTTGTGTGATGAAAATGCTCCATATATACTGCCAATATGTTGGGGTACCAGCCATTATTTTAGATGTAAGAGCTAAGAAGAAAACTGTATAGACTGAGTAGTACTTAATGTAAAAAAAAAGAATGATAACAACGTATAACTAAAAAAGTTTAATAAGCCATAAATATTTAAATACAACTTAGAAGGGAGTCTTGCACCAAGTCAACTTCCTTGTCCATTTTGAAATAGGAGTGCGTTTCTTTAGAGATGTTCTAAAAAAGAAATAAAAAAGTATATATACTAAACTTGATTTTTGGGCCAAAGGTAAAAAGTATATAAACAGAACATCCTAGATGTCTTAATTCAAGTCAACGTCATAATATGACATGAACCTCCAATGTCAAAAGAATGGAATTCACATAAATAGGCAAAATAGCTTCAATGCTCCATATGGTTTGAAAAATATGCACCAACGTCTAGGGCTGGGTCGGGAAAACCGAAAACCGAACCGAAATCGATCGAAACGAGCTAGAAAAAAAACCGAACCGAAAAAACCGAAACCGAATGTAAAAAAACTGAACCGAACCGTTATTATTTGGTTTCGTTTTGGTTTTTACTTTGAAAAACCGAACCGAATAAACCGAACTTATTTATATGCTTCATTTTATTTATATGAGTATATGTGATATGTATAAAAATCATATAAACAAAAATGCAAATAAATTACTAGTCAATTAAAGTTTTTTCTTAACTATTAATCAAACATTTTAACCATATTATAAACTTTAAAAAATTTAAGAATATAAACATTTTAACCATATTATAAACTTTAAAAAAATCTAAGAATATAAACACCAATATTTTGTATATAAAATTGAACCAATGAAAACACTAACCTTCGTCGAGTTAGTATTTATACAATTTTTAATGCTTATAAATATTTACTTTTATAAACCGGAAAAACCGAAAAAAACCAAGATAAAAACCGCCAAAAACCGAACCGAATAACCAACGGTTTACATATTTTTTATGCAAAACCGAACCGAACCGCCAACTTATCTTCCGTTTTGTCTTTGGTTTTGGGTAAAAACCGAACCGCCAAAACCGAACCCACCCCTACCAACGTCCCCTCCTTCATCGAAAAGAGGAATGGAAAATAATTAAACGGGGAATGGGTGTAACATTTTGAAACCACGAGAATTTAGAAATAAGTTTTGAGAACAAGAAGATATTAGTACCTATTTTCAAAATCACAAGGCGTACTGGTGTTATTTGACCCACATAAATATAGGTATAACTAATGCTCCGTAGCAGAAACGAGTGTTGTCTGTGTTCTTGTTTACAAACTGTATAAACACAACATATGCATTTAATACCCTTCTTCAACGTGTTATTTGAATATTTTAAAATTGATTCTCTCTTTCATATAGAAAAAATATGTCAGAGACTAAAAATAGAAATCATTTTCTAATTCTGGTTGTAATCCAAAAAAAAAAAAAACAATGCCAAAGAACCCATAGAAGATCTTTTAAAAGAACCCAAAAATCAAGTTCATATGTGAAAATAAATACAGTAATAAAATTGCCCTAAGTTGTTGTACAAGGAGGAATGGCAATTTATTAGAATCCAAAAATCAAGTTCATATATAAAACAATATTATACGCAGACGAAACCAAAAAAAAAACAATAGAGCTGCACCTCTTAGATAAGTGGCCTCTTATCTTCCTTGATTTCATCTTCGCCGCTTTCTGATGCCCTCTTGAGCTCCTTGTGATGATGATGATATTTTACCTGTTTGTTTGGGGCATCAAATGGCATACTTCGAACTGGAGGTTTGGTTTCGGGCAAGAGCTTCAAGAGGATTCCCATGCAAATAAGCAGCAATCCCGAGCAATGTTGCTCCGTGAGTGGCTTTGTAAAGATCAAGTACGACAACAACAGAGTAACCGCCTTTCTTGCTGTTGTCACCTGCATTTGCCAACAATAGAAGAAGCATATGAAATCACCTTGACCCGAGTTTTGTGGATTATGTGTTGGGAATCAAACAAAGTCCCACACTGTATGAGAAGGGAAAATATAACCTAAACAGATAGGTTCAACCCAATCTACTGGTATGAGGCATTTAAGGAGGTGCCCAAAAACAAATCCGCGAGGGCTCCGCCCAGAGTGGACAATATCATACTAATGCAGGGTTGTGGTGAGGGTACACGCGGTTTAACAATATGAATATAGTAAACCAAACCAAACCAAAACTAAGCAAAAGAAACCCAATATGTGTCTGTTCTGCCCGAGGCTCTCCGGACTTCAGTTAAATTTAAGGTGAAAAAACAGGGCTTATATCCCACTCAGGAGCCGGTCCAAAGAGACAGGCCTTATTTCTATACAAGGAGTAGAGAGACTATTTCAGAGAGGTCTCTCGACAAAAACCAATACTCGCAGTGTCAGGAGAGGAATAGGAATGCAGTGAAGTCACTGAAGCCGATAATGCACTAGATTTGAAAGAAAACAATTTTAGCATATGAGTAGTATAATATATTTACCATTGCAGTTGTGGCAGCCCCAAAGAAAGCTATCAGTGAAAGAACAGAGAGTTGGCCTACAAATGTTGCCATTGCTTCAAAAACCAACACACCATATACATAAGGATGCTGCACAATTTAAAAAAAAATATTAATATGCTTTGTATACAATAAATGGAAATACAGTTTTTGCTTTGGTTAATGAATGCAGTCTTATTTACCTGATAACAGGACTTCCAGGCCTTGAAAAGCTCTCCAGTTAATATCATGGGCACAAGTAGGAAAGGTGCCCCAACTACAGTTGAGCAAAAGAGCATCTCCATCTGAGATGGAATAACGGTAAAAAAAATAGAAACATAACAGTAAAATGGCATCTTTTAGATGGTATGTATTGACCAATCAATCATATGAACTCTGAAACTATTGCACTACCTGAGTTGTTTCAGGATTCAGGGTAAAAATTGCTTCCTGCAAATTACCCAGAAAAGAATCCATTACTAGAGCACCACTTATCATTATGATGCCAACCATACTGAAATTTGGAGAAGTGCTGGCATCTGCTAGAGTGAAAAGAATTAGGCCGGCAACCAGGAGCACTGCAGAGATGTATTCTTGGGGAGGGTATTTTCTTCTTAAGCCAGGAATAAAAGCGCCCATTATCATCACAGGAAGGACCTACACCACATCACAAAATTAGTAGGAATCAAGGAGTGCTGTACGAGCCTAGAGAAGTTGCAACACCAAACTACAGAATTACTCTTTAGATAGCTTGTCTCCGTTGGACCCTTGTGGATAACGACATTTACTTATTACTACCCAAAACTTCGTAGAAATAAGAAGTAAACAACGTTAAGTGTGCCGTTTTGATTTAGTCTATTATTTACCAGAAGGTAAAACATGTCAATAATACTCTGACTATGGACACAAAACCGACTATGGAACTGGGCATATTAATTTGCTAACAGAAAAGGCCAGATAAAGAGTACATTTTACTTCAACGTAAAATACTTCCAACAACCATGCGATAGGACATGGAACAAAGAAAGTGTGAAATGTTATAAGTAGGTACCTTAGTGGACTTGAACATGATCTGTGCTGGGTAGTTAAGATAAGCAAGGGAGCCCTTTGTTAATCCGTGGGAGCCCATGAGAACAGCAGAGAGCTTTACATAGGTTTTCCAAGGGTTCACCATTTGCTTAGTGGTGAAACCTTGTAAGCGTATTAGTGCTAAGTACACAAAACCTTGTATGAAGGTAAAATACCACCCATAGCTGGAAAAAGAGCACAACATCCCTCTCAGTCAAAGAAATCATTTTTAGATATTTAGTTCACTAACCAAAAAATGATGCAAAAGCAAATGCTAAGACAAATACTCCCATGTCCCTTTAAAAAATTCTTGTTTCATCAAGGTAAAACTTTTAAATTTTAATGAGGTATTAAGGTCCAACTATTAGAAATGTTGTAATCAATTATAACTACTCCGTATATTTTTTAATTTATTTGTTGGATTAATCAAATTTATTTAGCATAATCAATTATAACAAGTATATTTTATACAAGGTAAAACACTTTTATGGGATTTTACTGGGTTTGTTGTTGTTGTTATATAGAATTAAAAAAACATTAAATATAATAGAAATAAACTTCTTTTGATCAAATAATTTTTTTTTAAAAAAAATCAGATATACGGAGTAACGTTTTCTTTGGAACAGTGGGAGTAGTTTGTAATGAAATACCAGTACATGTGGACCATACGTCCATACCTGAACTGGAGCCTATTATACACATATTCCTGCAATTGACAATATTAAAAGTTCATCACTTCCAATCTTCCACACAATATATTAATTCATAAATTCATACTACCTCTGTTCCAGAGTATCCGTCCAGTTACTTTTTTGAGTCAAATTGGACGAACTTTGAGCCTTAATTAAGTAAAAATTATAACGTGTATTAGTATAAAAATGATTTTAATATTTTTAACTTGTTTAGAACTTTCAAAAATTTATTTCATTGCATAAATATGCAATACAAATTGAAAGTAATTAATATTTAAAGTTTGTCCAGTTTGACTTGAAAAAGTCAAACTGGACGAATGCCCTGGGACGGAGGGTAATAATTTAGAAATGGCATCCTAATAAAAAAGATCTCCAAATTCAATTGAAAGAGCCAAAGAGGAGCTCTCAACACAAAACACAATATACCTTTCTGATTTTCTTTTTTTTTTTTTTAAAAAAATTGAAATCTTAAAAAATCAAAGAGATCAGATATCATGCCAATGTGGTTTGCCAGTGACCCATGATTTACACTAAATCAAAAAGAACATCAATGGAGGAAAAAAACCGATTTTTTTTGCAACCCAGGCGTGTTTGATTTTCATTTATGTTTATGAACAGGGAACAGAATTTGACAGCTCAATGGCAAGCAAAAAAAAATACCAGTATTAATAATACTCATGAAATACAAAATAGGTCAACAAAAATCAAATAGTACCAAAAGGCATCGTTCGAATTGACAGCCATTAAATCTCAACAATGGGCCTTTGTGGGGTTTATCTCTTCATCTCTTTCTCACATTCATACACATAAATACAAATAATGGCGAGAACTTACAGAGAGAAGAAAAATACCTCGCAAATGCCATTGACGAGGTAGCCGAAGAAGAACCCAGATGAGCAAATGAGGAAACGTTGCCATATCGGCCGATCAGAGAGCGGAATCCCGAACAAAGACCTCGCTTGATCTTCATTGTTCTTCATCTCTCTCAATCAATCAATCAATCGACCGATCGAAAATTCAGAATATGAACTGCTATGAACTTGCATGCCCTGGCGGGGAGACAGAAAAAAAGGGGGAACGGAAATCGAATTCCTTCGAATCCCAGCAAAGTATCGGAGATTTCACTGGCCTGATCTGACAATAAAGAGGGAGAAACCCGGATTTAGGTTGGATTTGGGTGCGGCATAGTTTATGCGTTTATACTTTGCTGTAGAGTATCATCCAGGTATTCCCTGGAAAATTAAAATAAAAAATAAAAAATTGCCACCAAACATGCAGAATCGAGGGTGGAAAAAGCAGGGGAATGGAGTCAAGGAAGAAGCTTTGGGGAGACGGGAGAGAATCACAGAAATGGAAGTTACAGAATCCCAAGGAGAAAGATATTTACCTGTATCTCTCATCGCATATCTCCTTTTCACCCTTCCCTCTTAAAACTACTTTCCTCCCAAAATAAGAAAAATACACTCTCTTTTTGGTTAGGGTAAGGATGTATGGCTGGGGTGAGCAAAAAATCTAATAAAAAAATCGTCTAAAATAAAACTAAAATATAAGTTCAATGTTTATATTTTTCAAAAAGAAGTTTGTACTTTGGTCATGTGATATTGTACATATACATTTTACGTAACGTCGTAATGTACATGATCATGATTGATACTGTAAGGGGGTGTTTGTTTTTTCTGTAGGAAAAGGTCTGCAGTCTGCGGACCACTACTGTAGACATCTGCAGAAGAAGTGGTGGACTGAAGGTCTGCGGTCTGCAAGAAGAAGATTGTTTGTTTTTTAATGTCTGTAGATTGTTATATAAATTAATGGTAGTAGTGTATGGACGATTGTGGTGGTGGTGGAGGGTGGTGGTGAAGGGTGGTGGTGGACGTTGACGGCGG